GTAGATCTCAGTTCAAATTTTGATTCTCCTGATTACTAGCGCTGTGACTTTGGACAGGTTACTTAATCTCTTTGAACATATTCCCTTGCTGGCAAATGGCTTTAATAGCACTTATTACATATATAGATTGGTAGAATAATTACAAGAGCACATATTGCATCAAGCACAGTCCCTTGAAATCAGTAGGCTTCTAATAAAATAAATGGTTCATAAGAGGATGACCCCTGTTCTTGGAATCCCATTAGCAGGCTAAGAAAATATCTGTTGAAAGACAAACTAAATAGTATGTATAAAACATACAGTACAAGGTAACACTCAAGAGTATAGGTTTTCTCCCTCATCATTACTTTGATTAGTTTACAAGTGTTCAACTTTAAAATATGTTAATAACCTTTATGATAACACTTAGGACAGGGGATTGTTTTGGTAGTTTGATATTTGCATCAAGGTTGAATGAGAAAGCATTTAATTATTACAGATTTCCAACCTCCCTCTCTTAGGTTTAAATTAAGGGAGACTCATTTGAGATTCAAAAGTGGAGATTTGGCAAAGATGCTGAAAGTGTTAATTGATCCATGTAACTGGAGGCTTAAAATTTTAGTTCTGGACTTTCCTTTCATGTAATATTTTTCAACACCCTTATTTCTACAAATGAGGCAACTGAGGCCCAAGGAATTGAACTACACTGTTCAGGGTGAATAAGCTAGTTAGCAGTAGATCCCATCCCAACCTGACCCCCAGCTCCTTGAGGCTCCCAGACTTCTTTTAAGATCTTAAAGGTTTTATTTCTCCAGTTTGAGGAGATCTTTCACTTAAACATCAGTACTCCAGCAAAGGCATAGTACTTCTTATCTAAAATCAAAGCCTAAAATTCTCCTAGGAGGGTTTCAGTTGGGGAGTTGTAAGGAATCAGTCCCATATATATGGACCTACAAGAATACTATTTTTATTCATATATTAGGATCAGTGTGCTTTTGTGTAACAATGTATTTAAAAACTGAATATTTCCACCTGGAAAACATCCTCAAATTGCCAACTTTCTCACTGGACCTATTCCACGTCTCAAGAGAGAGTAGGCAGAAAGAGTGTCACTTATTTGTGAACTTTAGTTAAATTATCAGGTTTTCTGAAATGCCTTTTAGGGAAGGACATAATATAGAATGTTTAATACATCTTTAGAATAGCACTTTTGCTGTTAAAATTAACGCATCTCTCACCAAAGTAGAGCGTCGTAACATAGAGATTCTGAATATCTAAATTAGGCTTAGTTTGGCATTATTAATTCTTTTAAAAAATGTACAAATACATACAAAACTAATAAGTCATCAAATATTGGAATTCTTTTCCCCTAGGTAATTCAATAATAATATAAATCATTTATTTAATTTTTATAATGCCACTACCAGTATTTCTAAGCTTACATATATCTCCAATTTGGTCTACTACATAACTATTGACTCTAACACTGTATCTCCATTCCCACAGCTATAATCACTTCAAATATTTTCTCCTAAAATATTTTAACAGTCTCTAAATTGGTTGCCCTTCCAGGGTCTTTCATTTCACATGCTGTTGTCAAATCTAATAACAGCACTCCATCAACTAAACACCATCAATAGCTCCCTGTGACCTAAGGATAAATTCCAAATTACTTAGCATACAAGGCTTGTGACAATCTGGCCCCAATTTGCCCTTGTTCATCTAGTGTCATTATCTCATTCTTATATGACTTCCAATCATAGCCAAATTGAGTAAACCCCATACTATTTCAAGACTCTATCACATCTTTGCGCATGCTGTTCCCTCTGTGTGAAGAATCCTTCTTACATTTTCCCTCTACAGGGAGCTTTTGCTAAATCTCTCAAACTGCTCAAAGATCTTCCCACTTTAGCAGTCTTCACTACTCCTGCCTGCATTTTTGGAATATTTTGCACATACGTCTTACCCCCAATCTAATTTATGTCTTTTCCTGCATATTGGTTTTGTCGATTGAATTATTATCTGAAGGTAGAGACTTATTCATCTTTGCAACACCAGGGGCCTAGCATAGCGCACGGCACAGAAAGACAGGTCAGTAAATATCTAATGAATGAATGAATGAATGAATGAATGAATGATGGTCATAGTTAAAAAGAAGAAATCAGAGCAATTAATAAAAGAAATTAATGAAGATGTAAATTAAAATACACTGATTTATTCAGTGGCATGTCTTTTACTGTATCACTATATTATTAATATTCTATCATATGTTACTATAGTGAATAACAGTAGAGTGATACAGAGAGATAAAGATTAGGGAGAGGTTCATGTGACTAAGATTGCATCTAAATTTTCCTAAGCTAGTAAATTGACTGATATATTTTGGAATTTTTTGTTCAGGTTTTCAATGTGGTGTGTAGATTTGGTAGGAGGGTGAATTAGGGTGTATCAGGGAGCAAAGAAAGAGGAATGGAAGCTCTCAAACAAATTGTAAGGCACATGTACCTTGGAGATAATCTGAACCTTTGTTTTAAGTCACAGAATTTTTAGAAACCTCAGATATTCTTGAACTAGACAAATAATAATAAAATAATGCTTCATTTATAAAACTACTCTGTGGTGTAAACTGGAATATCTTTGGGGGAAAAATGCCCAACTTTTTAAACCATAAAGTCCAAGGGGTGACTTTTCTAAAATTTGGCTTATGAAAAAGGGCTGTTGTTCTAAAAAGTCTCATATATGTTTTATATTCTCAAATTACTTTATCATGACAGGCTTGTCTCATCGTTCTGGTTAGCTCAGATTTCAGTTTTAAGAAATACAATAAATGAGAAACATAACATTGGTTTGGTTTAATACAATGTGGCTAGTGATGAAATAACACGAAAGTTATTGATACGAATGTCTCATTTTCCACCTGCAAATAAACAACTAGGAAACCATAGCATTCTTTGTCTTTATGTGGCAAATGCAAGTAGAATAATCCAATACCTCTTTACAAACGTGGCAAATTCATGGCTCTTTCTTTCATTGATGGTAGAGTTGGCATAATTCAGACTGGCTCCAATTAGTACCTCATTAGTAACTACCAGATAATTATTGGCCTGCGCTGAGATATTGGCAGATGCCTGATAAGGCACTTAGTGAATTTTTCACGAGTCTTTCTGAGAAAACCTTCAGGAGAAAATATTCTGAAGGCTGTAATTCTACTTTTCTTCCCATTTGAATCTTGATGCATTTTCAAAATCAAGTTTGAAATTTTTAATAACATCATACTAGACTATCTTTCAGCCAAATATCTTACTATTTAATACATTTAGTGCCATTTCTACTACACATGTCTCTCTATCCAAAGTCACCACCAGTACACTTTAACATGGACTTAATTTTGAATTAAGGTTAACAAAGCATTAGTCACCACATAAGTGATATAATTTTTTAATAAGTAGGAAATGAAGTCAATAGTTTCTAATAGATCTAATATTTTTTAACAATTTTAGCTTCAAACTTCAAAGACTCAAATGAAAGGCAAATATTTAATGCTGCGGTGTTTTTAAATAGTCACCTACCTAATCAAAATATATGTATAAATTTTGTTGTACAGTGAAATTTTAGTAAAAAGTAATACATATACAACCACCTGGCACTTTATATGGAGGCTAAAAATGAAAAGATTTATGGTTACATAGGAAAAATATTGATTGTCACAATAAAACTTTCAACTGTGCAACCCAAGAATGAGGCAGAACATTTCATTATTGATTCTTTGGGGGAGATATAACTTCTAAATGCTAAGTGTGACTTCAATCTGTCAACATTCCTTTTGCTGTAATTAAAATCCTAAAGTGTTCTTTAAATAATTTTTCACTTAAATTGCATCCTGATGAGTTTTTTATCTCCATAATTGGAATGTCAACACCTAAGTAAGTGACTTATCCAACTGCACTCTTCGTACTGCAATGTTCTTACCCTTAAGAAAGCACCTCTAAAAACTTCCTGTCAGCATTGCTAATTAGAAGGATGAAAAGATGTATTTGTTTAAACGTCAACTGACAGGAATATAGGTAGAATTATTAAGTGGTGTAACTTTGGTGACTTTTACCTTTTCTCTTTTTAAACTCATTGCTTTATTCCACACTGGAACACACTGGCAGAGTATTACTTGATGATTAAGAAAAATCCTTTCTTCCTTATCATTTCTCATCCTTCCCTCCTCCAGGGGTTTTTGTCTTAAGCTTAATACCAGAGAAGAAAGCAACTTGACAAGCTAAACTGTTATTAACATGTAGACTTTATTTGGGACCTCTCTTTGAAACTCTTATTTTAAGTGATGTTTGGAAATGTAAACCCCTGATAGTAAAGGTGACATTAAGTTAGTGAAAATCAATAAAAATTCATTTATTTGTTCAGGAAAAAGTCTAATTCTTAAAAAGCTACCTGTTACCTAAAACATTTTGATGTAATTTGAGTGATTTGTGGCTTCTGCTATATCCATGTCATGTTTAACTATACATGACCTCTTCTCTGTTATATCCTTGTCTGTTACTATTTTGTATGTTAATTATTGTTGCTGCTGTGATTAGGTAACAGTAACATTAGTCATGTACAGAGCTTAACTGATAACTTATAAAACTATACTTTTACTCAGTTTTTTAAGAAAATTGAAATCCTAGCAGATTGCAGGAATAGCCTCATATTTACAAGCAAATAACCTTCTATTTCAATTCAATTGGGATACATGTGAATATTAATTTATAAAACTACAGCCCATTTACTAGAAAATCTATTTAGAAAAATACAATTAAAGAAAACATTGATAGTGTAAAATATCTTATGCATAACATATAATTTTTAAATAATTACATCTCATTCTAATTTACCAATATTTTCATAAAGGAGTATAATAATGTAACCTTAAATTAAATGTTTGATGAGATAAAGCATATAAGATAAATATATATTTTTAAATAAATATTTTATGACATGGTAAAATACTAAAATATTTATGCTACTGGACCAACCTTTGTGTCTATGAGATCCATCCATGTTGCTAAATTCAATGTGATTTTCATCAGCCCAGTAGAGTCTATGGTTAACATAATCTATTGTTAGTGCCATAGGTCTAGAAATCTTGGTTTCTATGACAACACTCTGATTGGTTCCATCCATTCCAACACGACCAATATGAGGATACTCGCAGCAGTCAATCCAATACAAATACCTAGGAAAGAAAATCCATAACTATTTTGTTTACAGATTCTCTGGGAGCAAAACATCAAACGATATATTACCTTTTTGCTCAACTGTTTCCACATTAATTCTTGCCATTTCTCTGAATTACAGCTTTTAAGAAGCATCCTTTGATGCAAAATTTCTTATGATGTTTTATTACATATCTAGTATGATTTGAAATATTCATATAACTTTAAACATATGTTTATTTTAGAACACAAACTCATATATAACAATAATATTATATAATACTATCACAAGTGTTAACCAATTATAGATGTTCAAAGCTAACATATGTAAATTTTCAAAAGGTATCTATCAATGTTGAAGGAATACAATTATCACTATATATACTTTCTCTTTTGATGTGTTATCTATGAAAAAGTCAAAGGGAATTATGGAGGTGCACATTTTATTTCCTTAATATACATTGTTAAATATGGTATCCACTAACCAATTATGACTGTTTAAACTAATTAAAATAAAATAAATTAAATGAACCGTATTGCTCCTTGGTCACACGAGTCACCTTTCGAGTACTTAGTAACCACGTGTGTCTAGTGGCCATCATATCTAACAGCATAAATATAGAGCACTTCCATTATCATAGAAAGTTATACTGGACAGCAGTGATTTGCATTATGTTATTAGAAGTTCTATATAGGACAGTTCAGAAAGTGGGGGGAAAAACAGTAAATGAAGTAAGTAATATTGATACTATATAAGTAGGTTGAGTTCAGTATAAATATTACACCTGACAAAATGCAAATAACGTATAAGCGGCAGATTACTTAGACATTTTTCTCTGTTTAATGAAGCCATTTGTTTTTTTGTTTTTTCCTCACAGTAAGAGAAATTACTTTATGTTTTAGATGTTTCCTTGTCTATAAAAGTAAAGATTTGAGTTATAGGATCTTTAATGTTATTTTCACATTCCAATTCTGAAATTGAAATCTATTAACACAAGTAGATTTTTCTCTATTTCACTCTTTCTTTTTGCCAGGTATAATACTTAGCAATTAGTTCTTCAGATTTAGAAGATTTGCATCCAAATAATTTGGTTTAAAAATGTTTTATATGATTTAAACCCGTATATTCAATTTAAATCTAAAACATTCTTAAAATAATTTTTTTCTCATAAATTCTGACAGACATAATTATGTTCAGATATTTTAAACACATACTAAAAAGGAAAGAGTTTTCAGGAAAAAAAACAAAACAAAACAACAACAACACTATCAAATACAAAGCTAACCTAAATAATCATTGTAAAGAACACATGCAATATTGTGTTTTGACAATCATTTTCTTGTTTTGCATAAAAGTATGGCTTATAAAGATAATACAAAAGTTATTTGATAGTCAAACTATCATTGAAGTACTAATGAAATCTGTGCTTAAAAAAGAAGCAATATATTTTTGATAAAACCTAAACAAAAGGTGGAATTTTATGAACAGAGATTTGAAGATCTCTGAAAGTCAAAATGTAAAATAGATTTGGGTCTGGTAACGCTAAGTCAAGTTCACATAGGCCAGTACTGGAATTCCTACGCAGTGTTTTTGTATATACATATTAACTGTAAACATACTTTGAAAATCTCAAATTATCAAGTAATAATAGATCCTAAGTCCCTCAAAAGATGATGCTATGGTTTTTAAAATCTTGAATTATATTTGGTACAGTTTTCTTTTGAAAAGTGAACACATGTCAGCGAAATACATCTTCTAGGAAACGAAATAATTCATTCTTTTCTAATAAATTTATGGAGAAGTGCCTTGTTGCCTATACTAGGGATCATGACAAAAGAGATACGAAGGAAGAAACTGAATCAGAAAGAAGTAAAAAGAAAAAGATAGTTTACCTTGTTGAAATAAATCAGAACAATTCTTTTTGCCTTACTGACCTTGAATCTTGGGAATACTAACATGCTAATTTTTGATTTCTCTGAAATATATTTATTCCAGCTGCCCTCACATGTTAGATATGATTAAATTTATTTGTGCTGCTATATGCCATATATTTTTTAAGAATTGCATATAAGAAAATAAAAATTAAAAGTAATATTTCAATGATTTCTATAACATTAAAAATAACATATCCAAATTGGTTTAATTAGAGAGTGTCTTTATCATTCTATTTAGCTACTCTACATGTAATTGTACTTGCCATGTAAACACCTCAAAAGTGAAAAAAGGTTTTCTATCATTCTATTTAGCTACTCTACATGTAATTGTACTTGCCATGTAAACACCTCAAAAGTGAAAAAAGGTTTTCTCCATTATAGTTGATCAATACATGTGATCAATGCTATCAGTAAAAGCATTGCAAATTAAATTACTGGATGTGAATAATAATGTTTCTTAAATTATTAAGTAAACTACAAATTTCAAGTGGTCTAACTTCCATATAATTGCAATTTTAAATTTTCATTTCTGTTTTGAAATTTTTCATCTGGTAGTCTTACCATCATCATGAACAAATACACCAAGAAGAGAAAAAGCATATTATTTCATGAAGTCCAACATCTGTTACATCACTCTCACTAAGTTTGGTAAGAGTTCTAAAACTGGAATTCTCTCCCTCAAATGAAAACCCTTTCTTACTGGGCCCAAATATACTTCTCCAAATTACTCCCCACTTATGAATTATGTGAAATTTAGCTCTAGTCAGAGTTTTTCATTATAGTCTCACATTTTCACTTTTCAGCTAATACAATTATTTTACTGTGGAAGTACAAAAGAGTGAATAATAATTTTACCTAGATGGAGGAAGACATGAAAAACTGTTATGCTTACAAATAGTTCTTTGGGGAAAAAAAAAATAACTTATCTTCACAACCACCTTATAAATTTCTTGAGAAAAATGACATTTTATTTCTTTCAGATTTTAGGACAAAGTATAACATAATTGAGAATTCTAATTCTGGTTATTGGGAGTACTGGAGATCATGTAGCTTAAAGCTTTCACTGATAAAGTGACAACTGAGAATATAAAAGGTTATCTGCTTTGTTTATTATGATGGGGAAACTTGGAACAAGGACTCAGGTTTCCAGATTTATACACTGACTTCTCTTCTAATGAGCACTATATAGCATCTGAAGCAAATAAATACTAGAAACAGATTACATGGGCTCAGATCCCAGTTCCTCTCATTACTAGTTATGTGAACTTAGGAGCTTTAATTAGCCTTCCTGAGCCTGGATTGCCTCATGTCGAAAATAAGCAATTACAGTTTCTTCTCATAGGGTCACTGTTAGTATTAAATGAGAGAATATATGAAGCAAACATAGAACATTGATAAGTATGTAGCCAGTGTTCAGCAAATAATAGCTATTATTGTTTTATCTGATTTCATAGGAAATATGCATATTAATATATTTTTAGTTTAGTAATACTCTCCTACTAGGTAACCTATTGAATCTGGATTGTATGTATCTTTGGACATGATTTGCCTTGATTTTATGTAAGTTATTACATGATTTGTCTATTTAAGTACTCATCAAGCAGAAGAATATTATGGATAATACTCTACTACACTGAAGGAAAGGGTTGTTCAACTGTACTCAGGTAAGCACGAGCTTTCATAAACACAGGATTTATTTTTTCTCTCAGTAAGTGGTAGCTAACTTCTGATGGCTAGATATCATTTCCTTTCCATACTTATGCCCCATTGCTATACTTTTTTTTTCAAATTTATCAATAAGACTGTACTAAACATAATGGTAATTTTAACCTCTGAAATGAAACCCTTAAAAATTACCTATGTAAAAATTTATTATAAATAATTAAAGCTAAAAATCACAACTGCAGGGAAAATGTTGAAAGAAGAGACCTAAATTGCACCCAGATAATATGCAATGTTTACCTCAATCACATATGTAAAATTTCAGCCCTAAACAGTACCTATTCTGTGAGGTATAATGAAGTATAAACACATAAAAGAATGTCTGGTTGTAACCATAACAATAGGCCTCTGCGATTTTTGAGAATGTCTTTTACAGTTGAATATTATACATTGCATTTCTATAAAACTGATTAAATAGAAGTCTTTCTCAGCTTTTACTATTTTTTTTCTGAATTCAAGTATTAAATTTGAAGAAGTTTTTTCCTTCCAACTGCAATTATTTCTAACTTTGAATTATGAAATTAATCATTTATATTATTTGCCTGTGTGTTTTTGCCTGAATATGAGAATACTGAAATGAGCTGTTGGGACAGATTTAAAAACTTGGTTAAAAAAAGTTTTTCTTATGTGAATACATAGTTTAATGAAATATTTCTGTATTCCTCCACAGAAATCAGAAACTGAATTTTCATCTTGGTCTGCCTTTCATTTCATCACAACAAAAGTTCCCTCATGACTCTTCTCTTTGAAACATGCAGGTTATTAACATACCAATGTATTGGTTTGCGCATAGGTGCAGGCACAAGGTCTCTGTAGCTATAACCTCATTCTCTGTGTACATCTAGTTACTCATTTATTCTTCTTCTTCAACAGTGAATTTAACAGTCTCCGTGTTAGACACAAAAAATGATTAAGACATGACCTTTGTGCTAAAGGAAGTTACGTTCTAGATGGAGAGAAAGACATTTCAACGAAAAACAGTCATATACTGTTAAATGTTCAATATGTGGTGATCACTTAGGCACAATTAGAAAATGTTTTAGAGAGGAAGTAATATTTCTGCTCGTCTTGGAAAACTTGGTAGTTATTCCAACTATAGAAAAAGCTGAAGGACATTCTAAAATATATCAAGATACAGAGGGTAAAAATGTGTCTTTCTAAATTTATTTGCATTGTCATTATCCATATTGGCAATAATGGATCCAAATACTGAGTGTCTTTCACATATTTTCATTAACATATATTTCAAATTCAAAATGGGACCTAGTATTTCCTTGTGGATTTCCTAACAGATTTTTCTTTTCTTTTCTTTTTTTTTTTTTTGGAGACAGAGTCTCACTCTGTTGCTCAGGCTAGAGTAAAGTGGTTTGCTCTCAGCTCACTGCAACCTTCACCCCCCCGGTTCAAGCAATTCTCCTGCCTCAGCCTCCTGAGTAACTGGGATTACAGGCCCGTGCCACCACGCCCGACTAACTGTTGTATTTTTAGTAGAAACAGGGTTTCACGATGTTGGCCAGGCTGGTCCCTAACTCCCAACCTCAGGTGATCCACACCCACCTTGGCATCACAAAGTCCTGAGATTACAGGCATGAACCACCGTGCCTGGCCTCTAACAGACTCTTGTCAGAATTTTAGTAAAGGAAAATAAATGAAAGTATGCCTTTTAAAATAAGGCATGCTGGTAATGATTTAGGTAGCTTTTTTCACTTTCCAAAAAACTTTTATCACCTATACTAATTTTACTTTATTTTGAGACAAAGTCTCACTCTGTCAAGCAGGCTGGAGTGCAATGGCACAATCTGGGCTCACTGCAACCTCCACCTCCTGGGTTCAAGTGATTCGTCTGCCTCAGCCTCCCAGGTAGCTTGGATTACAGGCCTGTGTCTCACCAGGCCCAGTTAATTTTTGTATTGTTAGTAGAGAGGGGGTTTCACTATGTTGGCCAGGCTGGTTTCCAACTCGTGATCTCATGTGATCTGCCCGTCTTGGCTTGCCAAAGTGCAGGGATTACAGGCATGAGCCACTGTGCCCAGCCCTCACCTGTCCTAATTTTAAATCTTTTAAAAAGGATAATTGTTAAAATGGAAGAAACTACAGGATTTGGAGTTCTTTTTTTCCTTTATCCCTCTTTTGGATGGCTTTTGCACATGTTTATGATCCACAGTTATTTTGTTACTAGACACTCTGACATAATGTAATAGGAAAAGTCTAGGACCAAAGTCTGAAAACTGAATTAAATCCTCAGTGTAATATTTTATCACCTAAATGATTCTGAGAAAGTCACTTAGCCAGTTCGTGGTTAAATGTGCCTATCTAAACTATACAGAAAGTAATACAAATAATTATATGTTTCTCAGAGACTCTGGATAAACAGTACATGCATCTGAAGTGATAAACTGAGAGTTTTCTAACTCAAAAAATGCTATAGAAATGGTAGCCATTATTATTATTATTATTATTATTATTATTATTATTAGGGAACTCCCAATCCCAATAGATCTACAAACTGATCGTTTCCCTTTCTTGTATTTTTCTCTGTTTCTTTATTCCCATATTCTGGGGACAACTCCTCTACTTACCTGTTTGCCCAAGACAGAAGCCTTCTAATGTTTGTTATTTGTTGTCATTGTGTGTTATGTTCTGACTTATTCCTAGCTTTCCTTTACTCTGTAAAGTGAACTGGTTCCATAATTACATATGTTTAATTTGCTCCAACTGTATAAGTTCCTTGTAATTTGTTGGATGTACCATGCTCTTCCGTGTGTCTGTTTCTTCCCAGAGAGACTGTTCTTTTTGCCAACAATATCTCTTGCCCTGTAGAGCACCACATCACTCAGCTAATTCTTACTCTACCATTCTTGTTCAGGAAGCTTTCTCTGAATCCCGTTGAGATAGAAACACTTCCCATTTTCTCTACCTTAAAAGTTATTGTATGGTATTGTGATTATTTAAGCAACTACCTACATACTAGACTGAAACATACTTGAAGACAGGGGACCATGCCTTTTATTTTAGACTGTAACATACTTGAAGACAAGGGACCGTGCCTTTTATTTTTATTCTCACTCCTACCAACAGTGTCAGACATATACTAAATGTTCAGATAATATGAGTTGAATAAATAAATGAGTATATGTAATGTTTTCTGTTAATTAGGCATATCATACATTCACTTTAATGTTTATCATAATGGTCTTTGTTATGATTAACTAAAGTGACACTGATTATACAAAAAGATAAAATGTGCAGCAGAGTTTTAACATATTTATATTCTCTGTTCTGTTTTAAAATGCTTACACATATCCTACATATGAGTAATTTTCATCAATATTGAATGTAAGTTATTTCAATTACCCTAAATTAATAATAAATTAGAATACTCATTCCCACACTACACAAAATAACAGGAAGTTTAAGATAAAATTATAAGAAAAATTAGGATTTCAATTGAATTTAAACATAACAGCTAAGATTTTCTGTCTACTTGTATCTTCTTTATGTTCCTACTAAATACCATATCTAAAGTGATATTGTAACAATTGACATACTATTATTTAAATACAGAAAGGACCCCCAAGACATCTTCTAAAAGTATCGTTGCTTTAATACACAGGACAGCCTAATGATCTTCCTTCTCCCTTAAACAAATTCTCTCCTTTTCCTCACTAAATATAAGGACAGAAATCATAATACTTCTCAAGGAAACAGGAGTCAGTAGTTTTGATATAATCAAAACATATGCAAGTCACAATGGCAATCTGAATTAGGAAGGTTCGATTGCATTTCTATTAATCTTAAATTTAAGCTTTCATTTTTGAAGCAAGATTGCATAATATTTTATACAGTTACGGCATTTTCACCCTAGAGTTCATCTCATCAATGCTAAAATCCAAGTTGCCTGATTTTCTCACTCAGGGGAACTAGGAAAACAGCATGAACAAAAAGGTGCCATTAAATTTTATCCATTAAAACAGTTGTTTTTAATTGTTTCATGAAGAGATCCAACTTTTACCTTTTTCTTTGGTTATAATATGACATATCTATATCAAAATCCAAATATTATCAAAAAAGAAAATCAATGGAGTCTTTTATAACATCTACAATAATTTTGTACTGTACTATTTTAATTGACATTTTTAATGGATGGGTTTATGTTGATGATAACTTAAGGCTGCTTTCAGTTTATGGGCTAATAACTGTAACCTGGGAGAAATAAAACTTAAAGCTATTAATAGATTCAGCTGCATTCACTAGAATAGGACATAGTTTTTGCTTCATAAATAGAAAAGACCACAGACTGCTATTATCAAACAGGTAATGTTTCTTTCATTAGAAAGTGAAGCATCTTGAATAGCATGAAATGAGAAGCTAAGCCAGCCATATTGATTTTGAGGAAAAAAACAATTGTTTAGAGATTCAAATATATATATATATATATATATTGCTTGTTCGTTTGTTTTTGAGACAGAATCTCGCTGTGTCACCCAGGCTGGAATGCAGTGGCGTGATCTCTGCTCACTGCAACCTCTGCCTCCTGGGTTCAAGCAATTCTCATGCCTCAGTCTCCCAAGTAGGTGGGATTACAGGTGTGTGCCACCACGCCTGGCTAATTTTTGTACTTTTAGTAGAGACGGGGTTTTGCCATGTTGGCCAGTCTGGTCTTGAACTCCTGACCTCAAGTGATTCATCCGCTTTGGCTGCCCAAAGTGCTGGAATTACAGGCATGAGTCACCACACCCAGCTAGCAAAAATCAAAAATAAATATTTTCTTATAAAATATCCAAGAAATTGAAATATTCACATAATTAAGAATGAATAGATGATAGCCAAATTTAGTACATCTGGCCATTATTTCTTAAAACATACATATAAAGAGACTTTCTAGTGATTCTGTTTAAATTAAAATTGACACTCTTTGAAACTTCTGTTGCTATGGTAAAGAAAATATTCAAAAAAGGAACAAAATGATTGCATAATTATATAGTGAAAAGTTAAAATGAGCACATTACCTTGAAAACAAAAATATATGCACAGTACAAAGCTTCTCCTATTAGGTACTATTTTTACCTAAATTAATGTATACAATTAACTTATAAAATATACTATGACATAACTTTGACAATTATAAATACGAGGGACCAAAAAAATTAACAGAGTTACATTAACCAGAAGCAAAATCTAATTGTTGCATATGGTATGATAAAAGCTGTGGTTTGGTGAAATATGTGAATAACATTAATTTAAATTGCAGAAAATTTGGAGTACCAAAGTTATCCTAACACTTGCTACTGTGAATGTGTCCTATTTCAAAACATCCACCATTCTTTAAATTTGTTATTTTACAAAGTATGTTGAGTAGGTTGAACTTCTCCAAAGATGATTTTGGAGCATGTAATCACTCTAAATTACAGTGTAAAAAGTTGAGAAGTTTTGTATACTCTACTGACCAAAACAACATAATTGAAAGTGAATTATAATGGTCATAATCTATAGAACTTTAGCAAACATACACCAGACAGCTTTGACACCTTCAGATGTATTCAGTCCCTCATCTGAAATCTCCAGCCTGCTGTCCTTGGTCCTTACTATGACTTCTCCCCATTCTTGCAATGAAATGCAAATGAAACAGATCCATCACAAACTCTTCCCCATAGTTCCATTCAGCTTTTCATCTTGAAGGCACATGATAATGCACCGTCATTTATTATCCATGGATACTGCTTATGTCTCCTGGTATAAAGTGGTGCAGGGATTACATTGTCCATATTTGTGACTACCCCAACCACTGCAAAACATCACCTAAGAATTTGTTCTTAGCTTCCCTTTCCTTCAAGATTTAAAGGCATTAAATCAGTGAAATCTGTATGTTTTATTCATTCCTACCATGGATTTATCAACTCATTGGAAAATAGTCATGTTTAAATATTTAAAAAAATAGTTTCTGTAAAATTCAATCATCTTAATTTTATTCCTTTCATTGTGATACTCACATCACTGTTTTTTTTTTTTTAAATTTCCAAGTAAGAATTTCTACACACTTAAACGTTACGTTGGATTTCCATGTTAACGACCTACAGAACTAGATTTATTTACCACTATGAATGTAATCCACAGCCCTAATCTTTAAGATTTTTAACAGTTGTTACAAACCCAGCTCGAGGATCTAAAGACAAGTCCCTGGGAAACTTCAGCCTTTTGCTAACGAGTATAGTAGGGTACAAGCCATTGAGTTTGGATACTTCAATGATCCTTTTTTCTGTGTCAGACCAATAGAGGTTTTTTCCAATCCAATCGACAGCAAGTGCATTGGGGACCGCTGTGTTATGAACTACCTACAAAACAAGAATTTAAAAAGTTAACAGCGTAAATCCCTAACATAAGAAGTGAGCAATTGCTTCTTGATTTTTACAGAGATATAGGATTCCATTTAAACATAAGGAATGGAACTTAGATAAGAAGAGAACCAGTGACCGCAATGCAATTACTTACTTGTTTGTGAGAAATTACCTAATGTGTAATTAGGTCCCTACAAATTACATATAGGTTTAAACAAAATAATTTTAAAAAGTTGTTGGAGAGTTACACATTTGTTGTTCACATTTTTGTTAAAGTGTAATCTATTCATCCTCTTAAAATTTGGAATAAAATTCTCTCACACACACACACACACACACACACACAAAACCCACACACACTTAGAGACATTATTTTTCTTTAACCAGTTTGGGAGAGATAGCAGTAGCATTCATCACTCTCCCTGCTGCTTTTGCCCTATTTAGATGGCTATAAGGAGAGAAGAAAACACCAAGGAGAATATGCACTATTTTGAACCTAGCCAAAGGGAGGTAACAATGTACACATTCAGCTGCTGTTATCAACTTTAATCCATGAATATACCAAATACAATATGAAACACAGTCTTTGCATGTATAAATATAATATATATAAAATGATCAATAACTTTTGATCTATGGGGCTGGCATTTCTGAATTTCCAGTACTTTTAGAAATATATCAAATAAACAATTGAAACTTGAAACTACATAGAAGCCAATAGTTACATAGTTAAAGACAATAAAATGCCAATACAATTTTAAATTTATCTTTTTCCTTAGTGCCATCAATAATAAAGATACAAATGAAAGTGTTAATATGCTCATTTGTAACAATAAATAATATCAATCTCCTATAATGAAATGCAGGACATCTGTTTTTCTTTTACCCACTACATTTCAAATTTGGAAAATTGGCATGGCTATTTAAATGAAAATCAGTGAATTAATAAATTTAAGGGAATAAAGATATATTCTATCTTTACATAACCTTATATAAATACATGATTTAAAGTAGTAATGGAGTAGTAGTGGCCAGGCAGTAGAGAATATGCTTTCAAAAATAGTAAAGTATTTTCAAAAAATATAAAGGTAAATTAAAATTTTTAAATGTATTGTAATAAAATATATGATAAAGTTTGAGTAATGTAACTTCCACAGTTTTTAAATTAATTGTAAAATAAATTGACAAACAAAAAACTCATCTGTTTATCTGTTCTATTTAACCATTGGGTTGGCTCGAATCAATCTGCCTATCACTATTATATACTGATTTTTTATTATATAAACCATTATTAAATACAGCTACTTTAAATCACTTGAATCCAGCTTACTATTTGTTTCATCATTGTACATGCACACTTTAAGATCTCATTAACATTTTCAAAATGGATTGCTTTCACCAAAAATGAAATTATATATGATATTATAGATGGTTACAAAAAAGTTAAAGTAATTGATGGGTTTTGTTCACTTTAATTTGAAACTTCTTTATAAAATATTTTAATGAATACATACAGTATTAAGAATTTGATTTTAAAACTCAGAATAACATAAGATGGTACCCAGTTACTCATATCTAGAATATAACATCATACACATGACAGAACTATGACATCAATGTCATCCTCTCAAATCGGAATGTTCATAATTTTACACAAATGCATTCAATTATTTACATCTGTAATTGATTAATTTTAACAGTATTGTAATTTCAATCCACACTCTAACGTTTAACTTTTTCAATTACAAATTTTTTACTCAACTTTCTATTTTATTTAAATCAATACAATTGAATTACAGGCACTAATCCTTCAAGCTGAAAACATCTATCCCATTTCCTAGGGCTGTGAATAATGTTCCAGATTTTATTTATTCAATTTGATGTTTATATTATTACAAGTAATAGTGTTATGATGAAACATAAGAATAAAAGGTCTCATATTTCATATTTAAAGTATTAATCACACTGTAGAAATGTGAAATTGAAACTACCCTAATGTATTCTATGAGTAAGATCACGGTCATAAAATAATAGTTTCTATACAATTCAATCATACTGATATAATATTCAACAGTCTCATCATTGTAATGTCTAGTTACCTTAATGTCACTTCCATTTAAACACATTCTATTTATGCGACTGCCATTGGGTCGGCTAGAATCAATCCAATAGATGAATTCTTCTCTGTAATCAAAGTCTATAGCAATAACATTGTTTAATCCCTAAAAATAAAAAAGACTATGTTGTCAATCATAGTTCATAGAAATAATTATAAAATGTTTTAAGAGTTTACAGGAATCATTGTCTCCCTTTGAACCTAAATAGTTCTATTTATTATAATAAATAGTGTTTGCTACCAATTCTCATTAAAAGTATCATATATTCACATTTTCTTTACATCATACATTTATAAACTATGATATTAATTTGAAAATATTTTCCACACGGGCCACAAAATTTCAAAATATTTATAGTGGTTTAAATAAATAGCCAGTAATGTGAAAATAAAAATAACTTCTTTTAAGGAGATACAGTTTAAAATTTCTACTTTAGGTTTATATGAAATATAAACTTTATGTCATAATAATCTGTTCCGTGGAGGAGCCTGAAAAAAGTACACATCTAAATTGAATAGGTAGATCATCTGATTAAGATGAGCCCTGGACAGCCATCTGATGAGTCACAAAAGAAGGTATAGAAATTTTACTTTCTCCCCAAAGCTCTTGTCCCAACAACAGTATAAAAGAGCTGCCTTTCTTCATGCTTCAGATGGCCCCTTGGCAATACAGTGTGATATTAGAATTTTAAAGTTACAACCTCGGGTGAGTATTTGACCAAGGAGGAACTAGGTAATCAACATGTTTTTATTCCACATGGTGGAAATGTGAGGAAATGCCTCCCTTCAGACTCATGGTTATGCATTTTTTAGCAGGTAGCAAAACAGAATACAAATTCAATTGATGGGTTTCTGGATGCTACAGCTTTTTGGTTTGACAGTTCTCACATTTGATTCGATTTGAGGACTGTACATCCAGGATCTAGGACACTTTTAGTTGCAGAATTATTCAAACAATTGCCTAGGAATTGGTTTAATTCTGACTTACTGGTAAAGATTATATCTTTACTCCCTTAAGGACTGAGTAATTTATTACTATATAAATTTTATTGATTAGAAAATAATATTATAGATATTTGGCAAAGCCTCAAGGAATCTCTGCCATGTTTTTATATCTATGGAGAGCTAGCTTACATCAATATTCACCATAAAGTTGATGTTATGTCTCAGATTGTTTTAGAGGGAAATGTATGAGTAGTTGTAGTCCTATGAGTGGAGACAAGCATCTTCAGAGAGGCAGGCTTTTTTTTATTTGTTTTAGTTTGGTTGTGGGGAGGAGGGAGAAGGAGGAAAGTAATTCTTAGGTCTGAGTTGAGTTTCAACATCTACTCTGAAAATTCAGAATCTGATGATAATAATAAAACTGACTTAGATTTAAATAGTTCTTTATAAGAGTCAAGCCAAGGCTAATAATTACTCTTCAGACATACTTTTCCAAGGGCATTCAAGACTAAGGGTGTCCTATGTATATCAGCAAATAAGAGGAGGTTCTGGTAAATACTGCTTATTTTCCCTTCTCACAGCGGGGCTAAATTTTAATAATAATAGTGTTAAAATGAGCAATTTCATTTTCTTGAGGTCTAGATTATAAAGACAACCTATAGTAACCTAACCCCACAAAATCTCATGCCATATGTCATAAACAAGAGACACAAGGCAATAATATAGCTCAGTGCAAATTCCTTGCTAAGCCAAGATGAATAAATGCAAGTATCTTTCCTATTGACAACACTATAAATCATGAATAATGACTATAAGTGCTAAAAACGGGTAACTGATATTCAGTCACAGATTCAAAAGATTCATTAAATATCCACTCACATCCTAAAAACTGGAGAACTCCTTAACTAAATGCACATAACCATAGATATGTAGGAAGTTGCGTACACAAAATAAGTCAAAGTTCTAAAATATAAATTGAATGTGTTCCAGGCAAGTTTGTAGAGGGCTTAATAAATTCATTCCAATAGTAGTTTACAATATCCCTTCTGTTCAACTGCTTTTCTCTCCAGAGCAATAATGTAAATAAGTTAGGATTCTGTGATGCCTTGTTAATTCAGGTGGCTAAATTAGAGAGTTTTACAGGGAAAAAGTAGAGAGAAACACATCTCTAACTTGAGCAGAGATTTACCCACAATCCTCAGTCATGGAAGAATTATCCTATTCCTTCTTTACAATAATCAATTTAGATAATAAAAATCCAATTCCAAATTTAGCAAGTCAACTATAATAAATTAAAGCTGCAAATGCAGAAAATTGAAGCTCTAAATTCCAACATATCTATCTAGCCAAGTTGGTCATTTTTCTACAGCTTTACTCTTAATCCCCACAGAAAACAGTGCAGTGGTCTCTTTGCAGAATCATATGCAAGAAACATTAAAACAGCCAGGTGCATGGTCAAAATAATGTCTAAAACTAGTCACCCCAGTAGTTTCAGAGCTGAAAATTGGTTTCATCAGAATCCTATTTGCTTCTTTCCTTTCTGTAGCTAAAGACTTGCACTCTTTGGTTTGAGATGATTAATTTAGGAAATTGTGTTTTGTTTCTCTATACAATGTTACTGGAATAAAGACACTGTTCAAATTGAATTGGATAACATATTGGAAAGGTACTTGATTAATTTTCATTCCCAAAATGTACGTCATTAAAGTACAGTTTCTAAATATAGTACATGAATTTAAGTTATAGCTGACCTTACTACAATTATGTTGTAGAATATAGAGGGCAAGAAAAAGTCCCACCACTTGTTATAATTTTATGCTATAAAACTTTATGAGATTGTTACTGACTACAACAAAGATAATATAATTTGTGATATTACGATAAATCATTCTTCCTAATAAGCTGCACATAAAAGTTCCAAATAGTTAAGACAATGATACTGTCTTTTCATTTATTTTGGTTGTGAGAAAATGTGCAGAGATAATTATTTCTCTGTTCTATTTCATTCTGCATATGTGGACAGACTCTCTGGACAAAGATAATGGTTTCTATTGCCTAGAACTCCTTTAAAATTTCTATAACACTATGATAAAACTGAGTAAAACTATGTTCTCTGAAAGAAATGACATATTCCCAGCAGCCTATAGGCAAAACTGGGCAGAAGGCTTGCCATGGGTTCTTTGGGTCTCTATTTCCTTACTCAGTGGACACCATTAACAATTGCTTTCCAAAGACACAGGTGTGTTCAGATCCTTCATGAACGTCTTCATCATCCTCACTGCTTCTTCATTCCCGTAGTACTGCACTAAGAAAGTATCTGAAACTCATTCCCACTTAGGTACTAATGACTGGCAACAGTCAAAAATGATACCACCAGGAGAAGAGAGCTATGTTAAAGGTGCATTAAAGTGGTTCTGTTATGTGAAATAGACTTAAATGATGCATAGAGAAAAAATCATTTTGTTCCATTAAGAACAATTTCTGACAACACATTATCCATGAAAGACAACAAAAGGAATACTGGTAGAAATATCCTGAGCTACAAGGTTGGAAAATGAAGCAAGAAGCTAGGACCGAATCTCTATTATAACTCTGTCATGAAGATAATGAATATTGTTCTATATTAGTTAAACTTGTGGTTCAGCTGAGCTTAAAAATATTCTAAAGAGAGAACTTTATTCCTTCAAACTGAGATAGTAGAGTCTAAATGGTCAGAAAGTTACAAATATATATATATGTATGTGTGTGTGTGTATATATATATAAACCACCTAGTGAATAAAACAAACATGTCCTTGTTCCAGAGACCATACCAGAAAATACATGGCTGATGCATCTAACTTTGAATTTACAGAAAAGTTTATAGGGCCTGTGTAATCATATCCCAAGAAAGATAATTTTTAATATTTTATAACTTTGATATAAGTTTAAAAGCACAAGAAAAAGTTTAAAAATATAGAAAAAGTATATTAAGTTAAGTTAGTTAAAGTAGGAAACTATTTGGGCAACAAAAAACTTTCCATCTTGAAGCAGTTATGTATACATTTTCTCCTTAATCTTGAAGCAGTTATGTATACATTTTCTCCTTAAGAAGTTAAAGAGGAAACTATTTGGGCAACAAAAAACTTTCCATCTTGAAGCAGTTATGTATACATTTTCTCCTTAACTATTTTTTAGGTAAGTAAATCTTTATGTTGCTGAAAACACACTGCAGGAATGGTGGTCTTCCTTTATACTTAAAACTGACATAAACAAACTAGAAAAATGAGAAAAAAAACCCTTATTTTTGGCACACTTGTTCTAGACAGTGCTTTCACATATTTCTGCCACTATTATACAGTTTGAGGCAAAGATAAATTTGGAGCAGAGCAGATACACACCAAATATTTTCAAAGAAAATATTTCTCCTGACAACTAAAAATATGCTTCCCAAATTCTATTTGCTAGGTAGTTCTACAGCTCTAACATATACCTAGTATACATGTTAAATGTTACGGAGTCATCTTGGGAGTGTCATACCTGTTTTAAAAGTGTGTAGTTGGAGCCATCAGTGCTAATTTTCCTTATCTCATGATGATCAGCAAGAATTAAAAAAGGTTCTTCATCTAAACACCAACACAAATAACATATTAGACTTTTAAGTATCTATGTATTTCCCCTCTGCATAATTTCAGTTTAGTTTAGCAGCAATGTGATGTCAAATGTAGTGCTGGTCTGGTAGATTGAGGGTTTAAAGAATCATACTGAGCAACCTAGTTGACAGTAGAATGAAAAGGCAGCACACGCCCAGGCAGTACAGAAAATCTAGAAAATTCTAAGTGCATACCTTACTCACCCTCAGTATTCTTGACATTCAGATAACTTATTTGGAATGAGAAGATATCTACTGCTACAATCTGATCATCTGCATAAATTGCAGAAAAAGATAATCTTCACCTGTTTTAGAAACCTATGTACAGCTAAAACATTCTTATGATCAGAAATTTTTTTCTTGATAATCAAGTGGCTAATGCTCTCAGGATGACCTCAGTGAAGACCAAGAGTATCACTGCATGTATATATTCTTTTACCTGCCTGAGGACTTCTCATAAATAACTTCTGAACTCCAGGTTCTAAAATCTTTATTAATTTTACCTTTCTTCATGAGTCTTATTTTATTAATGTTTTAATCGTCTTTATTTCTTCCTTATCATCTTGTCCAATGTCTTTTCGTATCTCATTTACTTTAGAATCTGGGAAAGAGCATGATCAAGCTCTGACCATGCTCAATATATGGGAGATCCTCTAAACCACTAGCATTTGGTTTTCTCTTCAGATTTTATTTGGACACAAAATGATTTCTTGAAGAAGATAATTTCAGAAAGATTTTCTTTTATATTTATTTAAATATATATCTGAATAATTTAAAGTCAGTTTGACCACATTCTCAGTGGTTATAATCCTAGCTTCATTTGATGAATAATTTGGTCAAGCATTTTAACATCTGTTTTTGAGACACATTCATAAACTTATTTGCCAAATGAAAAAACAATGTTGATAGAACTTAGAAAAAAAAAAAAAAACACTTAAAAAAGTAATCATGTCATATAATTGAAAGTGGATTTTATTATAAATTATTTATTGTTATAGAGTTACTGTCCTTTTTAAATTGTTTGAAGTCATCATTCTTCTCTGTCTTTAGTTTTGTAATTAATATGTAATACCAAAGATATGACATTATGTTTCAGCATATACTATGTCACTCATGTTAAATACCCCCTTCTATCATCATTGATGGGATCCCAAATTAGTCATTCCCATCTTCTTTTTGAGGCCAGGCTGAGATTCAGATTACTTTTCAAAACAGAATTGGCTCTTGAGTTGAAGGTGCCTTGCCACTCTGTCAATAGATTTCTCAATGATAAATATAAAATTAATCAGTCATGTTCGACTTCACTGCTTAGGCAATTCTATTATTTACAACTTAAATATATTTCATTTTTTAAAATCTCTGTAGTGCAACATTTATGCTTTAACAAGCATAAATGCTGTAAGAACACATTTTTATATTTAAAATTTGTATTAGTTTCTAAGCATAATTGCTAATGAGAAACAACTATGGTGTGGATACATAATGTAACAAGACCCATATTTTAATCATTACTATTCATCTCCTCTACATAATTCTTTATTAATGTTTAAAGTAATGGAAACATTGGTCGTTTTTGAGATTTAATCTCTTCTTTTTGTACCAAGTCACTAAATGCATTATGTAGCAAGCATTAAGATGACCCAAAGCGAGTAGATTGGTAGATTAAGCAATGGGCTCCAAATTATCCTCAAATTGATTGAGGGAAGGATAAGTGATGGTGGAATGAAAAATTGAAAGGAGTTAATTTTTTTTCCTCATAATGTGTAAAGTTTTGACCTGTTAAAAAAAACATATTTTAAAATTAATATCTCTGATAGCTATTTTCTTAAAGTGGTTGAGAAACCAGCTAATGTTTTAAATGTTGCCATTGATGAACACCTATATAAGAAACTGGCAATAATATTTGATTCATTATACTTAAAAACAAAGGGAATAGAGATGCCCTTAGTCACCATTTTTTGCCCATTTAACAATCATCATTATATTATTGCTTTATATCATTTTAATGTCTGTGATTTATCTCCCAAAGGATTAAAGTTATGAGCCATGCTTTATTAAATGTATAATTTACAGGATCAAATACACTACTTGGAATAAAGAGAAGTTTAACAATATTTGCTGAATCACTGGAAGAATTCAAATAGTCCTATATGGTTGATTTGTTATTACTATTGTTGCTTCTTATTACTAACTTGTTGTTCTCTTTAGCATATATGTATGAGTATGTATCGTGGAGGGGAGAATGAAAAATATTATAATAATGTCACAATAGTCTCTTTAACAGTTTTGGCCAAATTTGCTCCCAAGAACATGTGATTCAGCAGGAAGCAGTGCTAGAGATAGTTTTTTTTTTCTTTTTTCTTTGTGTGTGTGTGTGTGTGTGTGAACACTCTCAAAGTCTAGAAAACACTCAATAATTCACAAGACCATAAGGCAATGTTATTACAAACAGAGCATACAAAATCAGAGTGACAGATTCCCATATCAATGGAAGCAGAGAAGAATTTTGATTTTTCGTGAACATCAAGGAGGAGTGAATTCAATAAGAATGGCTATAAAATTCAGGATCCATATGATAACTGAAGTTGGATCAGTGGGCAAGTTCAATTCGATACCTGAGAGTGATTTGCAGCCATTTGGGTTATCAGGTTGTATTTCATACCCATCTGTACAGAGGCACGTGTAAGTCCCATATGTATTGATGCATTGCTGGCTACAGGGAAAGCCTGAAGAGCATTCATCAATGTCTACACATGTTTTGCCATCATCCTTCAGTTGGAATCCAGGCCAGCATTTGCACTGGGAAAAGAAAAATGAGCATAATCAATTCATATCATTGTCACTGTCTTTTACTATTGGATATCTCTTTAGCAGTAAGCAAGAAAAGCACTTGAAAATAGATAAAGGCAAGTCTTTCTGTCTCCCAGCATTTGACCTTTGATGGGAATTATGTATATTATGTAAAGTCAGTTAGAAAGCACTCTCTCAAACATCTTCATGTGATCTTTTGAAGTTGGCAAGATGGTAAAAGTTAATTGACATTGCTAAGGCCATGTGGTTAGAGATTGCCAAAGCCAAAAATAAGAGTGAAACTTTCTACTTCTTTTTTTGTTTTTCTATTGCATTACATTGTCTTTTTAGAATATTTTAGCAATTATAAGAATTAATCCTTACATGGAGTTTTGAAAATTTTTAACATTGTCACATATGTTATTTCATTTGAGCCATATAGAAATCTATAATGTAGATATTTTTAGGTTGGTACAAAAGTAACCGTGGCTTTTGCAATTACCTTTAATGGCAAAAATCACAATTACTTTTGCACCGATCTAATATTATCTTTAGTTGATGAGAAATACAATAGCATGAAGACGGAGTTGTTTAGACAAGGCCAGTAGGAGATCTTGGACACACTGAAATTTTTAATACATAGTAATCCTCAATTAACATTTATTGACTTGTTTGATTCCATACCTAGATATGTAGGTGTCTGAATAAATAGTAATATTCATGTAGATTTTTTTATCTCAATAACTAAATCAATTTGTATCATCAAATCTTTCCTTCAGCATCTCTATGATGTTTTATTTGTCCTTCTGATGACACATGATACCAACTAACTGGTATGTCAACTCTTAGAGTACAAACATGATGACATGTGTATTTTTTGCCTTCCTAGAAAAGATGAGGTACTTTAATTGATCATTGTCTTTCAGATCTGTTCTCAGTCCCTGCCAAGTAGCATGTGAAAATTATTGTTACAGAAAATGAACCTATACTTGGCCAGATGATTATGGTCATACTAACCTTCATTAAGACTGATTAGTAGTCTTTTAACAAAGGAAATTGTAAGTATTGAGTAGGATGGTGAGTTAAGAAAGATTTCTGAGTTGTTAAAAGTAACTAGTATTCAAGAGCCCTCCACAGTAAATATTTCATAATCTGGATAAAATTGATCATTTATTCTCAGATAAAAGTGATGGCAGAGCTTTGAATTTATTGATAAAAATATTAGAATGATATATGTCCACATTAATAAATAATCAGGAAACAATTTATGAGCAGAATTATTTTTTAAGTACAAGAAACGTTTTCAATACTGTGGAGGAAAGCAACCGAGTAACATCAATTTCATCTGAAATTAAATAAAGGATAAATCAATATTTTCCCCAATTCTGTTTATAAGAAATGAAACCCTTTAAGCTCCTGGCACTTTCACCTTTAACAATTGACACCAACAATTTATCTAATAATGCTCAGAAATTATAGTGGACTTTTAAAATCTCTATAACCCACTTAGTAATCCAGTGGGTTAAAATGAAGGCAAAAGCCACGGCTTGATTTCCCAAACTCCCTTCATTATATCTCACTGAGTGACAATATTACTTTCCTTGAGAAGATCCATCCTGCCCCCAGGAGGAATTGGTACTTAACGATGGCCAAAGAAAATGGCATATTAACTCAACACATAAAAACATGGTTAAAATGATGAATTTCATATTATATATTTTTACTCTTTAAAAATAAATATTAAATTAAAAAAAAAAGAAAATGAGAAATGTGACAGGATAGTAATCCCAGATAGGCCTAAAAATTAAGCCAAGTGATTGTGTAGTCAAGAAGCCAGAGGTCCGATTAGCAGATACAGAGCAATGTTTAATCAAGAGTCACTTTAGGACAAATGAAAGGAAATTTTATAGAATGTGTTGAATTTCTCTAAAACATTATTATTAAATGGAACAAAGTGCATCACCATTTTAATGGGGTTTCTGAAAATCACTTTGAATGCCTCATGACAGGTTTATAGAAGTACTATATGAAACAGATGGCTTAGATATACACAGTGGAAAATTAATTTCTTGAAGGCAAAATTGATTAACTCTACTATAATATAAAATTGTATAAACAAAAGTTTAAGATTTACAGTAAATTTTTAAAATTTTTATGTTGTTTGAAATCACATTTATAAAAAGACAATTTATTTCTCAATTTGTTAACCTATTTTAATAAAAATATCTTTGGTCCTAACAATAAAAAGACATCTGTAGGCAATTCTACTAGATTAACTTTCATAAGCTGAACGAAAGAAAATAAGAATCTTTTGCATTTTCAAAGATATTTTATAGAAAATAAGATTAGAATGTTCTCTTTCACTTAAAAAAGACAATTTTTATGAAAGTGAAAATTGTATGCATTCAGTCTCATCTTAATTTTTCTCACCATTCCAAATTATTTAGAATTTTCTGGAGTTAGATTAATCTTTATAAGAAAAATAGCTAGCAGAAAAAATAACTAAGCCTTTTCTATTTCTCTCAGGAAAATTTCTTTGCAGCTTTTCAAGTAACATGACAAATATTGATTATTTTATTTCTACTGTATACATCATAACTTTTTTCCCTCCCAGAAGTACATTTATTTTTACATGGTAAATTATCTTTTCTATCAAAATAAGATTTTTGCTTCAGTTAAATGTTATTATTCCCTTTTGAATAGTTAGATACATTGTATTTGTTTTACTGCAAACATGCAAATTGGCCACAGTCCATAAGGTCTAAATTTTGCTTTTGTAAGCAATTTTCATTTCATTGCAGAATTTAGAGGATGATTTCTTGTCACGTTCTGCTTATGTTACAAGGAGAAGTAGGCTGCTGGATAGTTTCCCCCATTCTCTGAAACAGAGAAATCTATCAGCTCACATATTTTTGCAATGTGGTAGAAGCATCTTGTTGTACATAAAGCTTTTTACTCATTTTGCCATCAACAAATTGTCATATATATGACATATATTTGTGTGCATAATATATACATGCATATGAATATACATATACATAAATATAAACACAATATGTAAAATATTTGGTTTGAACCTTTGCTTAAATCTTATATTTATGATTCTGGTCTCATCTTGAATGTTTGTACAAGTCATATTTCCATCAATAGATGTTTTATATTATTAACTAGCTTTTACATGTGTACATACTTAAAAACATCAAAGCAATTCTGTCTGATAACATGCACACGCTTTGTGAAGTATTAAATACTTGTGTCTATTTTAACTTGAATTATCACTTCATTCTATAGTTTCTTGAGAAGACAAAATGAAAACACTGGCATTTATGGAGTATTGATAAACAAGTATTTATGTATGAAGAATCTTTCAAGTTACTTAAAATAAGCATGGCTTAATATGTGTTTCTGGATGATATTGTCTGCTACCAAAAGCAATTTCCAAATATGGTATGGCTGTGTGCTAATACAGGCATTTAAAATAACATCAAACCTTATTTTTGATGTCATGTCACAAAGTATGCAATTGATATTCTATACATTTTATAATTTATTACAAAGTTTGTTATCACAGACATTAAATACACATGGAATAAACACAAATAAATCTACTTTGAAATGTATCACATAGAACATACACACACACACAAACACACACACACACACATAACACACACACAGCCATGCATTAGTTAATGACAGGGATACTTTCTGAGAAATACTCTGTTAGGTGATTTGTCATTGTGTGAACATCATAGAGTGTATTTGTACAAACCTATATGGTATACGCCATCATGCACCTAGGATATATGGTAGAGCCTATTGTTCCTAGGTTACAAATCTGTAGAGCATGTTACTGTACTGAACGCTGTAGGCAATTGTAACACAATGATAAGTATTTATATATCTAAACATATTGTACCATATGTTTAGAAAAGGTACAGTAAAAATATGGTATTATAATTCTACAGGACCACCAGTGTATAAGCAGCACATTGTTGACCAAAACATCATTATATGGTACATAACTGTATATATGATAGAACTAAACAATTATTTATAATGCTATGACTTAAAATTTTAATTAGTTACCTGCAATAATTCTAAAACACATTCCCTGATGTATTCAGGAAAGATTTCTATGTTAATTGTACACAAGTCATCAATAACATTTCTTTTCTGCTTCATTGGTCTTTAAAATATTTACTGCCAAAATTAATTATTTGATGCATGCTCATCTCATTAAAAGATGTACTGGCTCATTTGCTTTTTTTCTTTCTGACTGTAATATATTGTTTGTGAATGAGTTCATGTTCTCAGTTTACAAGTTTAACCACTTCTTCTTAATACAATACTGGGTCTAAAAAAATTTATATATATATTACTTTCTCGGTGTTTCAAGTTTTTATCTCTAATTTTTGCAGGGAGGAATTGATTGCTGTGGTTCTTAGGTTATGTCTATATACAGTAAAATCCTAACCAACCTAACCATGTAGATAAGTTAATAATACCAGAAATTCAGAACTTAAAAACTGCAAATTGGTTGTTTAGTTGAATTTACTATTAGATAGAACTGGCTTGTCATAACGTGCTAAAGCAGGCAGGAACAATGGCCCAACACCTTTGCCATACACAAATTCTCTACCATCCTTTAAAGAAAGTCATTTAGCCACTGCAGAAACACTTTCATTGGTGATGTGTGAGCTGGTTCATTCCAATAAAAAGTGTTCTAACATTACAAACTTCTTCCTTGTATTGAACAGAATCTGCTTTCCAACCCTTAATTCCAATCTTTTAAGCAACCCAGATTAAGTATGTTCCCTATTACACTACTTCATATACAGTTATGTGAATACAGCTAGTAAATTGTCTTTGCTCTAAGCAAAACTTCTTCTGAAGACGTGTTCCAGACTCGAATGCTTCTGGATATACAAATTTGGATACACTCCAATTCGTCATGGTTACTCTTGATAAAATGCCATGTTCATACACGTGCACAGTACCCCCAGGCAGAGCTCGGCAGAATAAAATCTAACCCCTGTGATGGTCCTAATTTTCATTAGGCTGCCTCTGTTGTTTATAGTAGTTATGTCCTACTGAAGATTCATACAGAGTTGTTGCTCCGTTAAAAACACTAATTTTCAAAGGAATTGCTCTTAATGAGGTTTTCCCATACTTACAAAATTGATTTTAACCTAACACACAATTTTACATTTCAACATTGTGTTAGTTTTGTCCACCATCCCAACATGCTGAAACCAAGATGGTTTTAGAAGTTATTTCTGTCCATTGATTCTGTCAGCGAATCACTCTTTTCAGGGAAATGGTACTTACAAAAAACTATTAGGATATTACATATAGTTTATTTTTAGTGTATTTACAGTAAGTCCTAATAATTCATATTTTATGTTTTTTTCCCTTCTTGTTTGTATAAAAAATATTCTATTCTCTAGTGTGGCAGTAAATGATTAGCCCATTCCACTTCGAAGACGTACTGGAGAGAGAATGAGGGAAGAAATGGAAACTTAAGAGTTAAATACATATTTATACAGTTATTAACACAGCAGTATTGTCTCTGACCACTAGTCGTACCTGGCTTATTTATTTTCTTTATGCTCTGAATATGTTGAAAAATACTTTAATTTTATTTTTGTCTCCTTAACTATATTCTCACAACTTTCATGTCATGCTACTATTACGGTATCTTTATATAGATACACTCCATTTAATTAGTTTTATTATTATGATGGCTTTTAACTTGTTCATTTACATTACATTAAATAGTTTTCTTGACCTCAAATTCTAACATATCACATGTTTTGCTACTTTTGATGAGTACCTACCTTATAACTGATTGGAAGGTCTTGACAGTCTTGAGAACATCCACTGACTTTCTTACTCAAACATTCATTTATATGGCAGTTTCTCTCATCTGAACCATCGCCACAGTCATCCTTATTGTTGCAAAGACCTCCACTGGGAATGCACCTGCCATTTTTGCACATAAAAAATGAACTGTTGCATGACTGTTCTGGAAAACAAACAAACAAACAAATGGAACATAAAGGGCATGCCATTGTTTTATACTACAATTGTTGAAAACATTCACAAATATGATAAACACGTGTCAAAAATCATAATAAAGTATATATACAATGTTTTACATATTCAGTATAATATTTTATAAAGTTCAGAAAACCAAGGGCAAACTGCACTTTCATGTTCAACACTTATTGCAAATATAGCTTGACCATGAAAATTAATTATCAAAATAAACCTCCATAGTAAAATTAATGAACTATTTCTGCCTCCTCTACTTTGTGAAGAATGAGTTCAAAAGCATAATGATCGTTTGACAATTCCCTCAAGCCATAGGTCTCTGAGAAATTATATGTCACTAAAAATTAAGAATCTAGAATAGGTAGATATTCCTAAATTCTTTTCTTCCTAGAAATGTAACATTGACATTTTGAAGTCAGGGTATAAAACAGACATCAGTGGTGAATAATAGGTGTTCCAAATATAGCTATGGAAAATAGCCGGATGACTTGAACAATACTCATCATCATACACGCTAAAAGAAAGCCTATTATCATGTAAAGTCCATGAGAAAAAAAGTTATTGAATATATTCTATAATATATTATTACATATTTAGTATTTGGAATAGAGAAGTGATAAATAGACCAAGTTTTTAATATATGTATACTCAAATGATATGCAATTTGTCTCATTTTGCCTAAGTATGAATAATACAAACAACTTCTCAGTAAATTTTAACTTTTCTGCATTTGAATTTTCAGATAGACCAATACAGTGAAATCATTCTCATATAAACTAATATATTAAGACATAATGAATTTTTGGCAGTGGGGACGACAGGATGGTGAATTCAGCAGTACCACTGCCTCAAATCTTTATATTTCTGACACAGACTTAAATTTCCAAAACTAGTTTCCCACATAGTCAATTACTAGTACCCTGCACGGTGTCACGAGATACATCACATGCTTAATAATTTGCATTTTCTTTCATTGAATACTATATTAGACAGAAAATAACAATTTTTCCACTGAAAACACTTCAGAATAAACCTGGTATTGTATCTATTTCTATACCTGCACTTTTACACTTTGGATTTAAAGGTGCTTCATCAGAATGGTCAGGACAGTCAAAGTCTCCATCACACTGCCATTGAGTATTTAGAAGACACCGCCCATCAGCACAACTAAATTCTTCTGTACCACACTGTCGGTATCCTAGAGACAGAGAAAAAACATTTGACTAATTCATATAACCAATACTAATTGAAATGTCATCCCCTCAGTGCACACTACCTCTGATTAATGTGGATTACCCTTGTCTCCTATGAGAAATGTTTCTCATTTCTTTCTGTAACAGTGGTTATAGTTGCAAGACACGTTTGTGGTTTGGAAGTAGAACTATGGTTCAAAAACTCAGGTTGGAAACAGACATTCTTATTATTTCAAGGTGAAGAAACAAGAAAGTGACCGTTGACGGTACCATTTCTCTTCACCTATCATCTAGATCTTAATGATATCTCTTAGAATGGAAAATGAAAATGAAAGCTATTAGAATTAGCTTGGTTAGGTATAATACGAGCACATATGAGCTATAATTCTGAGCTATAATGATAATTCTCAGAAGCTCTGATATCATGTTTATGTTTAGAAAGCAGCATTCAATGTGTAAAAACATTGTTAAAATGAGAAAAATTTAAAAGTCAATTTTAGAGCAATAAGAACAAAAACTATTATAATTATCCTATATATCGCTTCTTAGGGTCATTAAAACCTTTATTCAAATTACAAAAAAAATCATTTGTGAAAAGTTCATATCTATGTCTATTTGTAAGTACAACTTATTTGATTTTCAACATTGTTTTATAATGAATTTTTTCTAAGTTTGTCAACAATAAAAACAGTTATTCCTAGTAGAACTTTCTGATAAATCTGGGTAAATGCTCTGTTTTAAGTGGGAAGGGGTAAGATTTTTATGGCTTAAGAAATAAACACAATTCCAACAGAAAATATACTTAATAATGAATATTTAATTTAAATTGTTTTCATATTGGAATGGTTAAACTAGATAGTTTAATAGCCTCAGCTTCCCTAGCATTTCTTCCCTCTCTCTCCTCCTTCACCAGCTCCTTCTTCTCATTTAATAAATACACTGAAGTCTTGTCCAGTCTAATAACAATAAAAATCTATCTATACACCTCTTACCAGCCCATTTCTTGTCTCTTTATTGCCCAATCTTGCTTTCACTTACTTGCCTGCAGTTCATCTCTAATCAATCAACATTTCATTTCTGTGACCTCTATCTTCTGAAATTCCTCTTAGAGATAACAAACACCAAGTGTCAAGTGTCAAATTCTGGATCTTGGCCTCCTATTTACTTTACCTTTTTGCAGCATTTTATGTTTCTGACCACACTATCTTAGAAACAGTTTCCTGACTTAATGATATTCACAGTCTACCTTCCTTGGCTTCTTTACAACTTTGATCTTGCTGTTCCCTTATTTTCCTTCTGTATGAAGTCCTCTCCTGTTACACTCGAAAATGTTGCCAGTGAAGCCCTAACTTCAATGTTCGGTCTTTATTTTCATGCCACCTTTAGGCTGATGGACAGAAAGTTAATATTACTTGTCCTCATTGTACTTCTGACCTAGAATTAAATTATCACACACTCACTATGTAGCTTTATGTGATTGATTAACACCTCATATTCAAAATGTCCACAATAAAGTCTTTATTACATCTCACATCTTATCGACAAAATTAACCCTTAACCTCTTATATCCCAACACTCATTAATAGCAGCAATCACCAAGTCATCCAAGCTAGAAATTCCCTTTTATCCTCCATATCCTACTGTAAATGAAGTCTGACACATTCTGTACCTTCCACTCCACCATTCTCAACCTGGTTCAAAACCACATCATTAATCATCAGAACTATCACAATAACTCCCTAACTAGTTTATTTCCCTCTATGACTCCTTTGCTCCATGGCAGTATTTCTCCCACTCTGGTGAAAAAACGTGGTTCTAAAACAAAAATGTGACTGTAACATTTCATTCTCTTGTGTTAAAATGTGCGATGGCATCTGAGAGACAAAATAATTAAATACAAATTCTCTGACACTATTTCAGCCTTTTTCAAATCTAACTTCAACTTTTTAAACTTCCACTTAATTAACAGAAGACTAATTGCTATTCCTCACCCATCTCAATTTACAGTCTTTGTAGACACATATAGAATTTACTGTTCCTGAAACTGCTCTAAGAACTTTAAAAATATAAATTTATTTAATTCTCTGAACAGTCCTAACATTTAAGCCTTGTTATTAAGCACATTTTACAGATGGAAAACTGAGGCCCAGGGAAGTGAAGTGACCTTTTCAAGGTCACATAGCTGTTAAGTGGAAGATCCAGGACTTGAACCCAGGCTCTCCAGCTCTGGGGTTCATGCTATTAACCACCACACCATGCTCTCTAGCATTACGTAGGATTTCCTCTTACTAACATTCCCTGCTTCTATTCTGTAGTGCCTCCCTCAAGAACTATTCTTCTCAGCTCTGATCTCATTGTGATTCTCGTTTCTATTTGACATAATATGTTATTGTACTACATTGAATTTCTGTTTTTTCCATTTGTCTGTGACTTTTCCAAGTGGGGCCTCTCTGTCTCATTCATCTCTGTATCAACCAAATATAATGTCTAGCAGAGGGGAGGTATTCAATCGGATATAATTCTGCTTCAGATTTATATCTTGTGCTATGATGTAGCCTTAAAAATATCACATCAAATGTATGACTTCATGCTGAAATAATCATAAAAACTGATACCCACTAATTTCAGTGAGGTTCATATCAAAGGCCAAGGCTATAGACACTGCACAGGGAGGACAAAGGAAGGCACTAATTCTGTTGCCTTCTCTGAGCATATATAAAGTTCACAGTTTTTCATTGTATACATTTGTTCATGTCTATGCATTCAAATATTTTACAAAAACATTATGTTCACATTAGAGTTCAACTTCAACTGAGTATTTTTAATATATTGATGTTATTAAGGTTACATGTTGTATAGATATTATATACAACATGTAGAAAAATATATGTAAAGGCAATATACATTTCATGATAATATTAAATTTTATCAAATCATTGAATACATCAAAAGATAAATGGTAGAAAATATTAAGTATCTGGTTTTTCTGATAATTCTGAATTATATTCTTTTTTTACTCAAATATTTAATTTGGCTATAGAACTGAACAAGCCAGCGATATACTGTCTTCAGATTTCAAGTATTTCAAAATATATTAAACTAAAGTTTTTTTTTTTTAATGTATTTATTTTGAGATGGGGTCTCACTCTGTCACCCAGGCTGGAGTGCAGTGGCATAATCTCAGCTCACTGTGACCTCCACTTCCTGGGTACAAGCAATTCTCCTGCCTCAGCCTCTGGAGTAGCTGGGATTACAGGCTAGTGCCACCATGCCCAACTAATTTTTGTATTTTTAGTAGAGATGGGGTTTCACCATGTTGACCAGGCTGGTCTCGAACTCCTGACCTCAGGTGATCCACCCGCCTCAGCCTCCCAAAGTGCTAGGACTACATGCATGAGCCACCACACCCGGCCCAAAGACATTTTTATAAACATTTTCCAATATACTGATGCAAATATACTTCAAACAGGTATGATTTCCAAATAAATGTATTATACTAGAGCTTAAATAAGTTATAGGTGCTGTGATTTTGTATTACTGAATTCACTGGCTCTTGATGACACTAAGAAACGTCTTTGTTTGTTGCTTTAGTTATTTATTTGCATACTACTTTTGAAAGACTCTTAGCCTAGGAATCTCCTTCATGAAGTTTTAGATGTACTTACCACACTGTGGTGACTCATCAGAGCCATCTCCACAGTCGTCATCATGGTCACAAACAAATTGCTTGGGAATGCATACTTTATTATGGCACATGAAAGCATTTTCATCACATGTATTATTGGGAGCTAAGAAAGACATCACAAAAAATAAAGTTAGATTAGCACATATTTTATCTTCTCCCATATTAGGAGCTTGGGGAATATGTAAAATCATATCCAATAACTCACAGTTACTGAGAAAAAGAAAACTTTGCATAATATTCAATACATCAGATGAGCTAATAACTGCATATGTATTTATATTAGAATGACTGAATATAAATACACATAATTTAAGGATTTAGTATTCATGAATTCAACTATTCCAGAGTGACCCTGAATTCAAGCCATGTAGCTATTTTAAATTTGGTGAAGGATGAATTCAAATGTTCATATGTTAGAAAAAATATCTCAGCTAATAATATTCTGGGTTTTTTTTTAACTTATGCCTACAGTAATGCTGGTAAAGTAATAACAATGTTGCTACCTTGTGAAAAAAAGACCCGCAAAGAACAATATTAATGTTCATAAAGGAAGTGTAAAGAAAACTAAGAAGGTTTAGAATGTTATTGTCTTTAAAAAAATAAAATAAAACTTTTTGATAACTTCCAGAGTGGGGTGTTGAATTAGGTAAAGGTAAGACCTTTGATGTCATCAGCCCCACCATAAGTACCACACAAATGAAATGGAATATTGACCCTTTAGGAATATTGATCCATGAAAGCAATGTTCCAACAAGTGGGAAAAATGGTTGATCCACGTGATCAATAAAATTTCAGCAAAAATTCAAAAGAACATAACTAGTGCAGAGAAAGAAAAAATTAATACCACATGCATAGAATAATAAGAGGTTTGCAAGGCTCATTCAAATATTTTCAGTAATCTTTGCTTATATTTAAAAGGTAAATGCTATGCAGGAATCAAGGTTTGGGGTATTGCAAATAGCAATAATCTGCTATATGCTATTGTAGAATGCTGGAAAGAGAAAGGTTTTGCAGAAAGTGGCTGTGGCACTTATATTTGTATTCTTAAGGAAGCAATTTACCTTCTTGGTGCATCTGTTTCTTTATCTGTTTAATAGGGATAAAAAAAGGTATCTGATAAATTTCTTATAAGGAATAGATAACGTATGTGAGGCAGATTTGGCTCATTTTAAGTATATAATAAATGTCTAGGTGCTCTTTAAACTCCTATTTATATAATAATTATTTTTGGCAGATTCCTCAAAACACTTCACTACAATATTGTGGGAATTCAATAATGCAAATAACAGCAACAATTACAATAATTGATATGTAACGGGGGTACTTGAAAAACTTAAGTGTGTTCCATTTCTCCATTCCATGTCTTAATAAGCACTTTTCTCCCAATGAAACACCTTTCTCCTTCTTTGTCCCTCAAGACTCAGATAATATCATCGCTTTTTCTTGAAATCATTCCATGAGGCATTTTACATATTAGTAGGATATTTTACATAATATTTCTTTGTGATTGGAATGGTATATTTTATATACTTCACTTTAACACTTAAGATACAGGTATTATCAATATTCTTTCCCATTGCCTGTAGCCCCATCCCCCCAGACCATCCCAGGCTCCATGAACCAATAAATCTCTCCCTTTATCTCAGAAATTATTGACATAGTGTAGGTAAAACGTAAGGGTTTTTATAATGTAATCAGGCATAATTTACTTTTAACAAAGAGTTTTTTAAAGTTGTATAGAAGCCACAGAGAAGTAGCATGAACAACTGCCTGTTGTAATCAGAGTAAAACTCTGATTTTACTAACTCCTCTTAACTTTGAACTGTATGCCAGGTTGGATAACTCAGGTGAATTACACCAATTCCAATACATGAATTAATCTTTAAAACACTGAGCAACAGTGACTTATTTGGCATTAACACTTTCAGATCACTTGAGTACAATTTGCTGCATTTTAACATAATTTACTCAATAGTACCCATGTGGTCCAAAAGTGTTAATATGCCTCCCAGAGTGTTAACTTGCTACAATAGCAACAGCATACTGGGACCATCTGGATCCCTGAATTGATGCATAATCCTTTATTATGTAGCCCTCAGTGGCCCCATTGACCTTTACAGACACACATATCAGTTTCAAGATCAAAGTGAATTATTCTACAACAATAGTATGAGTTCTGTGCAAATAGTTCTGCCTCGAAGTTTTCTTTTTTCTTTTCTGCTTTATTCCTCATGTACACGTGAACAAGCATGCACAAGCGCACGCACACGCGCACGCGTGCGTGCACACACACACTCTTACATTATGGCTTCAAATACAAAAGATGTGAAGGCAGGCCACTGGAAAGATGACTGGAAGAATTCATTTTAACAAGTGGAGTTCGCAGCATTATTTCTGACAAGTTGCTCAGCCCAACAGATCCCCTATGTGACCTTGTGATCTGCATTCAAATATGCAGTCCCTTCATCCTCCTGATCATGCAAAGGAATTCATCTAAAAGTTTACTGTTGAGTAATACCCTGAAAATTTCCTGAGGTGACTTAGAGTCAGAAACTTAGTAAATTGTCTGACCTCCAAAGGTGCTCTTCTGATCCCTCAGCTTCATTCAGCTATATCCATACTATTTTTACACGACCCAAGGGTTAATACCCTATCCTTAGGACTAATAGGTGTTTACTGACCTCCTGATCAGTAGTTATTTAGGATCAGAGAAGTCATTCCCAGAGTTTCTATAATAGACCATCTAAAAGCCTTCAGGAGGGATGGTGGTGGACGACGCAAAAGAGAAAGTACCAAACCTACTGTACTCGTACACATAAAGTGCAGTTACATTAGCTGAGAAGTGAAATGGTAAGTCTGTGTTTATCAAAATGGTTTTAAAATGGGTAATCCGACTGTGCATGTTTGAAACATTGAACAGTAGTTAAAGAGGTTGCAGAACTACTGTGATAACAACATCCCACCTGATTAAGTCCAGTACTACCTACCGACCCAGGAATTGGGAAAGCAATGGGAAATGTGCTACGGCAAATACTACAAAAACAAATGCCCAAGGATGCTGTAGCAGTTTTCTTTGACATGCAGCCCTGGCCAGTGTCCATACCGCAGCCTGCTGTGGAAAGCTCATCGCTTCCATTTGGACAGTCCCTTTCACCATCACAAAGCCAATGTCGGGGCACGCAGGCATGAGAGCCCTGGCAGTTGAACATGTCAGCAGCACAGGTTACGGCACCTGAAACGCAAAAACATAATGCCATTAAGATCACTCTGTGTCTACTGGAAAATGTCTACCATTTACATTTTCTTTAGTAAGGGGGGAAGCAGAAGAATGTTGCTTATAAAGAGGCGATCGTAGTTATTGGGAATCATTAAACATCATTCTTCCTGTGTAGTCATCTACATATTTTTATCTAAGAAGGTATTATTTCCTAGCTATAGTGTTATATTTCTTAAAGCTACATGGTAGAAAATAATGTATTTTATCCTTGTAAAATATTGCAAAGCATAGAAATATCATAGAATTGTGAATACACTGAGATAACATTTCTAAAAGACTGAAACTAGAAAAATAATAGTAATTGAAATAATGCTATTTTTATTGCTTAATATGTGCTAAGCACTTAACATATTAACTCATTTAATCCATACAATAAGCCCAACCCATAGAACTATTATTAGTATGCTTTTACAGAAAAGAAAACCAAGGCTCGGAGAAGTTGAAAAGCTTGCAGAAAGTCACAAGTTTCACATGATTCCTCATGCTGCACTGGGAGTCCAGAACCCGCTGAATCCTAAGCACCATCTTTTGACCACTCATGTCATTATTATTACTCTCCATCCTGTAGTACCAAAAGAATAAATGTATGCACATTCTATTTTTTCATGCATAATAATTGGAATCTACCTTTGCTCTATCATTGCAATGTTTCTTTGTTTGCATGATAATGTCTTTCAAAAAAATGCTTGTTGATTTGGACTCTTAAGTACAAAAGGTTCCTCTTTCCTTCCACTTATGATCATAGGGTGGCCATATGTCAAATGACCCTCTCTCCTGATGTTTTACTAGTCCCTGTGCAGTTATATACAATGAACGTTTTGAATGTTCTGTTTGTTTATAAAAGTACCTGAGTGAATCCTAAATCTCTCTCTTTTTTTTTTTAATTGTACTTTCTTATGACCCAAAGTTACCCAGAATAGATGCTAAAAAAGAAACTTGTTGAATTGTTGAAAATAGAATATTATCTCCAGGAAGAAAATATAAGTGACTAGATGAAAAATACTTGTTTCTAACAGTTGAAAGCAGTAGCCAATGTGTTTTAATTGGATTATCATTTATCCTCTTACTTTTCAGCCAGAGTTGTTAGGAGCAGAAAATTCTTTTTGAGGTAATGTTTTCAATATGGTAAGCAGTGGGGTATCACAATACAATCCTCGAGGAGTCTTTTGCAACATAAACATACCTGTTCTGGACATATACCTTACCTGAAGGAAAGGATGAAGTGTGAATGTTGACAAATCCCCCAGTAATCTAGATTTGCTTATTTAATTGAGGATCTATTTAATAGAATGGAGTTTAGCATGTTATATAATACTGGAAGAAGTTAGAAAATAATCTATTAAATAAAGGTATTTTCATTTAAAAATGATTTTGTTTGCTAACTAGTATGTCTTTAGTATTTTCTATATTAAAATTCTCTTTCCACAGAAAATATTTTTATATTATTCCTCCTTATCTATCCTTTTTAAGCTTGTCGTGAACACATAAAGTGTCCTTTTTACTATTATATTCTCAATTCAATGCTTTGTATAACATTTTTACTGTTTAGCTTGAGACTTTTGTAACTGCATTTTTTTCTCTTAAGGAAGTTTTGATAAATGTAAAATTTCTTGTCTACTGCCATATTATCACTTTAATTTGTTCTCAAGGCAGTCTGATAGAAAGAGCCCTTATTTGGCAGTGGAGAAATCTAATTCTGTATGACCTTGGTGAAGACTAGCACCTGAATTACCCTATCTTTAAAATGATGGGTATGACTGGATAATTACCAAGATACTCCAGCTATAAAATGGCATAAGGCTCTTTGTAGCTAATTTTCTGGATCCCTTGATAGTATTCAACAGATTTTGTGTTAATAACATGCCAAAACATCATAGTCAATTGGGAAGAAAATGGCCCAAAGAAAAAATTCATGACTTTATTTCATAGTTGCCACTGCCATCTGGAGACATATTACCTTCCTCAGGGAAAAGAATCCCTAGGGAGAAGAAAGACACGTTGATAAATTCCACTAGATCCATCTTGCACACCCACTCGGATAATATTTGATTGATAAGAGTCACTATCCTATTTAATATTTCGGAACCTGAATTCTGCTCATACCTCTGTCATAGTTAATTATCTGAGTGACCTCAGGCAAATTTATCAATTTCTGTGAGTTTCTCTTTTTTCATCTCTCAAAAGATGGAAATAAACTAGACCATGATTTTCAAAATGGACCCTCAATATTCCAGATCAGAATCACTCTATGCATATCAATAAAGAACGTGTTTACATCCTGTATCAGAATATTTTGAATTGGAAATCGGGAAACTACATTTTTAACACACTTCTGAGAAGGATCTTTTGCACCCCAAAGGTTAAAAACAAGTGAGATAAATTATTTATAAAATTATTTTCCTGTTCTAAAATATGAGGTTCAGTTCATTGACAGATGATTGGTCCAAAGCAGTATTTTCTTTATGTGTCTCAAGCTTGGTAGTTAGTACATAAAATACAGCTCATAATTAGAGCAAATTAGCTCAGTATTTTGATTGCAGGTAAACACGTCCATTTTCTTATTAGTCTTTAATAAAAAAGCATTATTAGGACACTGACAATACTTTGACAAAGAAATGAGGCAGGAGAAATAAAATCAGAAAAACCTCATAAATATAGTATGTATTGGTTATGTTAGATGATCATACTAGGTATATAGTTATATAAGGATAAATCTTTTTGTATCCAATTAATAGGTAAGGAATCATCAAAATAAGGAATAAAACGAAGCGGTCTATGATTACACAGCTTGCAAATGCAGATGTGGGAGAACTCACCTCTACACGACTTTAGAGATTTTTGCCCCTATAATATTGTGTCCATTTAGAAAGTGCAGTGTTATCAATGGGGCCATAGTGCAGAGGTTAACAAAAGTCAAAGGTAAGATAATTTTAGAGATTGAAACCGTGTTCATCCTATTGTAAGTAGGTAATTCTTTTATTAAAATTATTTTTAAAAATAATAGCAAAGAGAAACAGACTGTCAGACATCTAATTGGCTACTGACATTTTTTCGTTCATAGCTTTTTGATAGTGATCTTTCTATTTGTCTGTGGCATAACTGTAAATTGTTTCAGCTATGTAAGTAAAAAGTAGATTTTGAGTGACTTAAATACAAGAAAATAAATCGCCTGCTTTCAAGAATATCTCCAATTTCATGTTGTTTACAAATAACTTCAGTTTAGCTCGAATACTATAAAATTCTACCTTTCTCCATGTTTGTGACAGAAATAGCAGTCCACAAACCCTGAAGTATAAAAGAGGTGTTAAATACACTAAAATCTATACATACACCTTATTCTATGATTTGGGTCCTTCTCTTCCTAAAAGAGGATGGTAACAGCTGCCACCAAAGGCTGATGTAATGAGTAAAGAATATATATCTACAAGTACGAATGTATACACAGAAATAGATTACATAGACAACCAAAAGACATCTACACAAATTAGTGAAATTCTTAGCCAGTTAGAAAAAAAAAAAAATTAAAGATTAGCTTGTTTCCTTCTTTTACCCCTTAGGAAACTCAGTGAATAATTCTATTTAACTATTTGTTAAATATTTGTGAATATTAAAAAGCAATTATACTGACCTTATAGTTGACATATAGTAAATACAGATATTTGATACTAATACCTCTAATCCTATAAAGCTACATTTTAAAGTACATTTTAAAATCATATAAAATAGCCATCTTCCTTTACTTCTTATTTAAAACAATTCAGCAATAAGAATGACTATAACACACAACATATGCACATAAACAGCATGTGTGGGTGGTGGCAGTATAAATTAGTATACTAATTTTGGAGGATAACAGTGGTATACAGGATGCATCATGGAAAAAATTGTTTGATTATTTGACCCTGTAATCTCAGTCTTTGATATTTGCTTCAAAGAAGTCACTGAAAACTACACATAAAGTGTACAAATACATTTATTGTGGTAATATTAAGGAAAAACACCGAATATTGAATAACAGCTTTATATGTAAAAAATAATAGAATAATGGATTGTCATGAAAATAATAAAAACAGCTACTTAGAAGTGTACACATAAATTGTATGTTAATTTTAATAAATTAGCAAATTTTGTGCATGCTCTAAAATTATAGAGCATATATAATGCTTAAAAACTGATTGAGGACAGAAAATAGACAACTTACCACAAATGCTATCACTTTCATCTAATCCATCCCCACAATCATCCTCTCCATCACAAATCCAATGCTTAGAAATACATTTTTGTGCAGAACAAGCAAATTGGTTCCAAGAGCAGGAAGAATCTAGAAAACAAACAAAAGGAAAAACTAATTAGGTTGAGACCGTCTTACAACAGATCCGACAATGACAAGATTCATTCTTAGACTCTGCTAAAATAAACCATCTTATAATAAAAGAAGCCAAATTCTTCTTCTCTATGATAATTCTAAGAAATTTTGGCGTCAGCTTGCATATTTCCCCTGTGTTTCCAGTTTATACAACCATTATTTCTTCAACGTGATTCTTACAAGGCTTGCCTTTGAGGTAGTCCTAATACTCGTCACTCTACTCCAGGTATATTTGTCTGTTTTCTTTTCTTTTCTTTTTTTTTTTTTTTTTTTTTTTTAATGTGTGATGCACATATATAAAATAAATATTTCTGGTGTAGTCTAGTCATACTTTTAAAATTTAAATCTATATTTGAGCCAAGAGAAAAAACTTACATCTTAAGTAAGGTAATAATATGGTGGACTGACCAGTAGATAGGTTTGTTTTTAAAAGTGGGTGACTAAGGAGGTTATAGCTTGAAGACAACCTGACAGTTCTGAATCTAGCAACTGTGCTGATGTTTTTGTGTTGCTTCCTTGGAAACACTTGAGTTTGTTATACCTGACTAATAACACCTAAATCAACTGGCATAGTTGCTGACATTTTTATTATTAGATTATGTTTTTATAATAACAATATACTCCATTTATTTCCAAGGCCAATTTTATTATTGCTTTCCTCCATTCCCAGCCTCCCTTTTTACCCAGCATAATTATGACTAGAAAATATTCAAAAGTAAAATCCTTCCAAATTAAGGTGTTCAAAATATAAACTCTTGTAAAAATAGCAATTTTGTTTTTGATTTCACAAACAGTTGCAAAACTTTGCATTTTCACTTAAAATGCTTAATTAGATGACCAGTAAAATAGAGAACATTAGAAAACTGAAGTTTGGAAAAAGTAAAATTACGATCTTGTAATGGCCACTGTTCAGAAATTATGAATCCACATACGGTATTTTGGAAGTTCTCTGCTAGTCTTGTTCAAAATCTGGCTCTAATGTAAAGATATATAGCAACTTAATCAAACAAAATGCACCTTCACATTTCATGATGACATTTACTTTTAGGAGAGTTTGACATTTCACAGAAAATCTGTTTTTAATCTTTTTTCTACTCTATTCACCACAGTGTATGTTATTTGTGCTAAATGTAAATAGTGATATATACCTTGCTTTCCTATTGGAGATTTCTTTGATTTGCAAATCACAAAATCCATACATTTTAGAAAATAAATTTAAAAATGCTTTCTTAGTTTGACAACATAACATGAAATAAAGTGTACACACACAGAAATTAGGAGGTAGAAGATGAAAGGCAAAAGTTTAAAGAAATAGAAATTTATGTATATTATTGAAAGCCATACATGTAATTAGTAGAAATTTTCAGTATAATAATATTCAGTCAGCTCTCCACATGTGTGTGTTAATATCCATGGATTCAACAAACCACAGAAGTATTTGAAAAAATAAAATTAAATAATAACAATACAAGAATAAAATATAATACAAAATAATACAATGAAACAACAATTAACAAAGTATTTACATTGCATTAGGCATTATAAGTAATCAAGAGGTTATTTAAAATGTACAGGAGGATGTGCATAGGTTATATGCAAATACTAAGCTGCTTTATATAAGGGACTCGAGCATCCATGGGTTTTAGTGTCCATAGGGTGTTAGACCCAATTCCCCATGCAGATGCCAATAATAGGTGGGGGAAATATAACAAGTAGTGCATGCCAAATCCTTAATTTATAGCAGAAAGCAAATATATTAGGTACAACCTAAAGGTAATAAATTAAGAAAAGGTATAACTTTATTACACCTGTATTATAAACTGATGGAAGTAATTATTCAACAAAAACACAGAAGGTTAAAAGAAAAGTCTAGGACCAAAGAGTGTTAGTCTTCATTATAAACTCTTTTAATTTTAATATTTACCTTTTTTTATTATCTAATAAAAACGTAAATTAGTTAAAATCAGCTGACAATATTTTGGATAAAATCCCTATATAAGAGAATACTAACATGTAAGTAATAGTAAGGTTAACAAAACTAAGGCTAAATACAAAGTCTCACCACAGTGGAATTCATCAAGCCCATCCTCACAATCTTGCTGACCATCACATATCCAGGTAGTCAAAATGCATCTTCCACTAGGACAACTAAAATAATTTTCTTCACATTTGTGTTTGTTTTGAACTGTGATAAAATATAAAACGTAATGTCAAACAATTCAAATCAATTTTAGACTTCTGAAATATAGGTAGATAAAACATTAATACTCCCTGAACTGAAAGAGATAAAAAATAAGTAAACTTTAAAAGAGCTAAGATGTTTTCCTAAAGAATGCCAAGGTTATGAAAATAAAGGAAAGACTGAGAAATCATCCCAGAACAGAAACCCAGGAGACATGATAATCAAATGCAATCCAGTATTGAGTCTTAGTACAGAAAAAGTATAGTAATGTAAAATCAGTTTAAATTGTAACAGAGTAGCACTTAGTTAATAAACATAAAATAAAGCTAAAAAATATATACGACTTTAAATTGAGTAAGCCTAAGGCCAAAGAATAATATTTGGGTGAAAAATATTCTGAATTCCATGTTCATAGCACAAAATAATAATACATTGGTGTATCTTTGCTGGAAAAGTGTGAATTTAGTGTTTCTATGGCCCTCTATTTGGAGTATTTCTCAACAGTATTTAAACAATTATTCTATATTTTAAGGAAGAATAAACGAGTTACACTGGCAAATCTAAAATTATTATACCTTCCAGAATTATCATAAAAAAGTAACTGTATGTAAAATTATTTTTTTCTTTTGACAAGGAGTCCCACTCTGTCACCCATATTGGAGTACAGTGGCACAATCTTGACTCACTGCAAACTCCGTCTCCCAGGCTCAAGTGATTCCCCTGCCTCAGACTCCTGAGTAGCTGGGACTATAGGCACATGCCACCACTCTCAGCTAATTTTTGTATTTTTAGTAGAGATGAGGTTTTACCATATTGGTCAGGCTGGTCTTGAACTTCTGATCCCATGATCCACCCACCTTGGCCTCCCAAAGTGCTGGGATTACAGGTGTGAGCCACAGCACTCAGCCTATATTTATCTTTTAATTGGGTGTCATCTGTTCCATTGCTCCTTCAAGTTTTCATGATTTTAGACTGTTTGGTCTATAGCCAAGCAGGAAGTAAACCCTAGTGTAGATATCCCAATGACACTACAATAGTCTATTATGACTATTTTAAGATAACAAAAATTGTATGCATTTTATTTTTTATATGTCGACTTTGTAGATATAATTAAAGATGAAAATACATTTTTTGAGTGAATTCAGCATTAAGTCAAAACATTTTAGGATGCTTAGGATGTTTCCTGGATCTAACCTAAAGTATTTAGGCTGACCATCGCTGGCTTCCTGTCTGTCCACCTGCCTTATAAGCCTGCATGCATGTCCCTTTCCTTCTTACCCAATAAAAAATTTATGATTCTCAATTAGTGTTGAAAGTTAATTCTTAAGATAACTTATTAATACTAGAAAGAGATGGAGATCACAACAAAGAAAAATAAAATATTAGTTTAATTAATATCTATCATATGCTGACCTCAAGATAATTTCAAAATTAACTACAGTTATACTGAGGTAAAGAATGTGTTGTTGCAATCAGAAAATTAGATTAAGAATCTTGGCGCCAGTTTCATTGAGCAGTGGTTTGTAGTTCTCCTTGAAGAGGTCCTTCATATCCCTTGTAAGTTGGATTCCTAGATATTTTATTCTCTTTCTAACAATTGTGAATGGGTGTTCACTCATGATTTGGCTGTTTGTCTGTTATCAGCGTATAAGAATGCTTGTGATTTTTGAACACTGATTTTGTATCCTGAGACATTGCTTGAAGTTGCTTATCAGCTTAAGGATATTTTGGGCTGAGACAATGAGATTTTCTAAATATACACTTACGTCATCTGCAAACAGGGACTATTTGACTTCCTCTTTTCCTAATTGAATACTCTTTATTTCTTTCTCTTGCCTGACTGCCCTGACCAGAAATAAAAGTGGACACAAACAACTGGAAGAACATTCCATGTTCATGCATAGGAAGAATAAATATTGTAAAAACGGCCACACTGCTCAAGGTAATTTATAGATCCAATGCCATCCCCAGCAAGCTACCAATGACTTTCTTCACAGAATTGGAAAAAACTACTTTAACGTCCATATGGAACTAAAAAAAGAGTCCACATTGCCAAGACAAAGCAAAAAGAACAAAGCTGGAGACATCACGCTACCTGAATTCAAACTACACTAAAAGTTTACAATAACCAAAACAGCATGGTACTGGTACCAAAACAGAGATTTAGACCAATGGAACAGAACAGAGGCCTCAGAAATAACACTACACATCTACAACCATCGATCTTTGACAAACCTAACAAAAACAAGAAATGGGGAAAGGATTCTTTATTTAATAAAAGGTGTTGGGAAAATTGGCTAGCCATATGTAAAAAGCTCAAACTAGATCTCTTCCTTACACCTTATACAAAAATTAATTCAAGATGGATTAAAGACTTAAATGTTAGACCTAATACCATAAAAACCCTAGAAGAAACCCTTGACAGTACCACTCAGGACATAGGCATGGGCAAGGACTTCATGACTAAAACACCAAAAGCAATGGCAACAAAAGCCAAAATTGACAAATAGGATCTAATTAAAGAGCTTCTGCACAGCAAAAGAAACTACCATCAGAGTGAACAGGCAACCTACAGAATGGGAGAAAATTTTTGCAATCTACCTATCTGACACAGGTCTAATATCCAGAATCTACAAAGAACTCAAACAAATTTACAAGAAAAAAAAATCAAACAACCCCATCAAAAAGTGGGCAAAGGATATGAATGGACACTTTTCAAAAGAAGATATGTCGACAGCCAACAGACACAGGAAAAAATGCTCATCATCACTGGCCATCAGAGAAATGCAAATCAAAACCACAATGAGATACATACCATCTCACACTAGTTAGAATGGCAATCATTAAAAAGTCAGGAAACAACAGGTGCTGGAGAGGATGTGGAGAAATAGGAACACTTTCACACTGTTGGTAGGAGTGCAAACTAGTTCAACCATTGTGGAAGACAGTGTGGCGATTCCTCAAGGTTCTAGAATTAGAAATACAATTTGACCCAGTGATCCTATTACTGGGTATATACCCAAAGGATTATAAATCATGCTGCTATAAAGACACATGCACACATATATTTATTGCAGCACTATTCACAATAGCAAAAATTTGGAATCAACCCAAACGTCCATCAATGATAGACTGGATTAAGAAAATGTGGCACATCTACACCATGGAATACTATGCAGCCATAGAAAAGGATGAATTCACGTCCTTTGTAGGGACATGGATAAAGCTGGAAACCATCATCCTGAGCAAACTATTGCAAAGACAGAAAACCAAACACCACATGTTCTCACTCATAGGTGGGAACTGAACAATGGGAACACTTGGACACAGGGCGGGGAACATCACACACTGGGGCCTGTCATGGAGTTGGGGGGTGAGTGAGGTATAGCATTAGGAGAAATGCCTAATGTAGATGGCGAGCTGATGGGTGCAGCACACCAAAATGACACATGTATGCATATGTAACAAACCTGCACATTGTGCACATGTACCCTAGAACTTAAAGTACAATTTTTTAAAAAAGGAAAAAAAAAGGAAGAATCTTGGTGCCAGTTTCATGAGTCTAAAGTAATAAATGTCTATATTTCTTATAAATATTTTATATAATTAACTTTTTTTATGTGAAAGACCTGTAGTGAGCTACAGTCAAATGCTCTAAAATTTAGAATATGGATAGCAAGAATACTCAACAAAACCCAAGAGAAGTTTGAAATCTAACACAAAGAAAACAGAAAAAAAAAATTAGGATTTGAAAGACAACTAGAGGTATTAAGAAAGAACTAAACAGAACTTTCCGAATTAAAAAAAAAAATCACTACAGAAGTTCCAAATACAATTGAAAGCCTTAACAATAGACTAGATCAAGCAGAAGAAAGAATTCCAAAGCTGGGAGACTGGTCCTTCAAATTAATTTTTTTTCCAAAAATAAAGAAAAATGGATTTTAGAAAATTAACAAAGCTTTTGAGAAATATAGGATCATGAAAAGTGATAAAATCTATGACTTATTGAGATTCATGAGAGAGAAGAGAAAGTATGCAACATAGAAAACATATTTGATGGTATAATTCATGAAAATATCTCCAATCTTTCTAGAGAAATCAACAGACAGATTCCAGATAGTCAGAGATCTCCCGCAAGATACTGAACAAGACAATCATCCCCAAGGCACAGCACATGGTCATTGGGCTGTCCAAAATCAACACAAAAGAAGTTTGAAGGCAGCTATGAAAATGGGACATATCACCTATAAAGTGAAACCTAGCAGACTAACAACCGACTTCTCAGAAGAAACCTTAATACCCAGAAGAGATTGGGGGCCTATGTTTAGCATTCTTAAGGAAAAGAAATGCCAGTTAAGAATTTTATATTCCACCAAACTAACCTCCATAAATAAAGGAGAAATAAAGTCTTCCCCACACAAGCAATTGTTAAAGGACTAGATCACCACCAGATCAGTACTAGGAGAGAGCCTTAAGGGGGTTCTTTGAATGGAAATGAAAGAATGATACTACCATAAAAGAACACATAAGCACACAGCCCATGAACCCTATAAAGCAACTACACAAATGACACTAAAAATCACCTAGCTAACAACACTACAACGAGAACAAAATCTCACATGTCAATATTAACCTTGAATGCAAATGGCTTTAAAAGAGATAAGAGTTGTAAACTGGATAAAAAAGCAAAACCTATTCTTCTGCCATCTTCAAGAGACCTATCTGACATGTAATGACACCCATAGGCTCAAAGAAAAGGGTGAAGAAAGATCTATCATGCAAATGGAAAACCAAAAAGAGCAGTATTTGCTATTCTTATATCAGATAAAACAGAGTCTAAAACGACAGTAGAAAAAAATAAAGAAGAGCATCTAGATTCATAAAACTAGTACTTCTAGACCTACAAAACAACTTGATAGCCACACAATAATAGTAGCGGAATTCAATACACCAGTGACATCATTACGTCAATGGGGTAGAAAACTAACAAGCAAATTCTGACTGTAATTCAACACTTGACCAATTGGACCTAATAGACATCCACAGAACACTCCAGATGACCATAGCATATACATTCTTCTCATCTGTATACAAAACATACTCTAAAGTTAAACCACATGTGTGATCAAAAAACAAGTCTCATTAATTTTTTAAAAAATACAAAATTCTCAGGCCTCAGTGGAATAAAAATAGAAAAAATAGAAATCAATAACCAGAGGAATACTCAAAACCATACAACATAGAAATTAAAACTTGCTCTGAATGAATTTTGGGTAAACAATGAAATTAAAGCAGATAATAAATGATAATTTGAAATAAATGAAAGCAGAGACACAATATACCAAAACCTCTGAGATGTAGCAAAAGCAGTATTAAAAGGAAGGTTTACAGTACTAAATGTCTACATCGAAAAAAAATAGAAAGAGCTGAAATAACAATCTGACTGCACCTAAAGGAACCAAGGAAAGCAAAAACCAATCCCAAAGTCAACAGAAGAGAAAAACCAAAATCAGAGCAAAACAAATTAAAATGAGACTCCAAAAAACTATACAAGGATCAATGAAATGAAATGCTGGTTCTTTTGAAGGATAGACAAAGTTGATTGACCGCTTGCTAGATTAACACAAAAAAGAAAGAAGATTAAAATAATCACAATCAGAAATGACAAAGGCAACATAACAACTGATCCCACAAAATGTCATTAGAAACTATTGTGAACACCTGTTTGCATACATACTATAAAATCTAGAGAAAATGAATAAATTTCTGGAAAGGCACGATCTCCCAAAATTGAGCAAGGAAGACATTGAAAACATGAATATATCAATTAGTTTTAAAACTGAATCAATAATTTAAAAATGAACAAATAAAAAAAAAAAAAAGCCCTGGAACAGATACATTCACAGCCAAGTTCTACCAGGTATACAAAGAAGAGCTGATACCAATCCTGCTGAAACTGTTCCAAATAATTACGGAGGTGAGATTTCTCCTAACTCATTCTATGAAATCAGATCATCCTAATAACAAAATCTGACAAAGACTCAACAACCACCACAGGAAATCTACAGATCAATATCCCTAATGAACATAGGAACAAAACCCTTTCAACAAACTACTAGCAAACCAAATCCAGTGGCACATCAAAAATCGAATTCACAATGGGCAAGTAGGCTTTATTCCTGGGATTCCAGGTTGGTGCAACATACGCAAATCAATAAGTATGATTCACTACATAAACAGAATTAGGAACAAAACCCACGTGATCATCTCAATAGACACAGAAAAAACATTCAGTAAAATCCAATATCCCTTTCATGATAACAATGCTCGACAAACTAGTCATGGAAAGAACAATAAAAGCCATCTGTGACAAACCGAAAGCCAACCTCAAACTGAAGGTGCAAAAGCTGGAATCGTTCTATCTGAGAACGGGAACAAGACAGGGATGCTCACTCTCACCACTGCTTTTCAACATAGTATAGGAAATCTTAGCCAGAGTAATCAGGCTACAGAAAGAAATAAAAGGCATGCAAATAGAAAAATAGGAAATCAAACTATTTCTCTTCACTGACATCATAAATGTACACCTAAACACTCTGCAAAAAAAGGCCTCTAGATCTCATAATCAAGTTTAATGAAGATGCAAAATTAATGTATAAAAATCAGTAGCATTACTATACAACAATAAAGTTCAAGCTGAGGGCTAAATGAAAAAACACAATCCCACTTACCATGTGCAAAAGAACAAAACTGGACTCCTACCTCTTATCATTTACAAAATGTAAGTTAAAGAAGTTTGAAGACTTAAATGTATGGTCTCAAGCTATAAAAATACTAGAAGAAATCCTAGGAAATGCTTTTCTGGACACAGTCCTAGGAAAAGAATTTATGACTAAGTCCCCAAAAGCAATTGCAACAAAAACAAAAATTGACAAGTGGGACTTCATTAAACTGACGAGCTTCTGCACAACACCAAAAATATTATCAACAGAGTAAACAGGTACCCTGGGAGAAAATATTTTCCAACTATATATCTGGCAAAGAACAAATATCCAGAATCTATAAGGAATTTAAATAAATCAATAAGAAATAAAAAAACACAAATAACCCCATTAAAAAGGGGTCGAGTATAGAAACAGACACTTTTCAAAAGAAGACATAAAAGTGGCCAACAAACACATAAAAAAGTGCTCAACATCACTAATCATGAGAGAAATGCAAATCAAAACGACGAGATACCATCTCATATTAGTCAGAATACCTTTTGTTTAAAAAGTCAAAAAATAAGATGTTGGTAAGGTTGTGGAGAAAAAGAAACACACACTGTTGATAGGAATGTAAATTAGTTCAACCCCTGTGAAAAGTAGTTTGGAGATTTCCCAAAAACTAAAAGTAGAAGTATGATTTAACCCAATCTCATCACATACTCAAAGACAAATAAAGATATATGCATTCATATGCTTATTGAAACACTACTCACAATAGCAAATATATTAAATCAGTGTAGATGTCCATCACTAGTGGACTTGATAAAGAATATATGGTACACATACACCATGGAATACTATACAGTCATAAAAAAGTGAAATCATGTCTTTTGCAGTAACATGAATGCAGCTCGAGAGCATTATCCTAAGTAAATCAATACAAGAACAGAAAACCAAATACCACATGTTCCCAGTTATAAGTGGGAGACAAACACTGAGTACACAACAAAGTAAAGATGGAACAATAGATACTGGGGGCTCCAAAAGGGGAGAGGGAGGAAGGAGGCAAAGGGCTGAAAAATTTTCTATTGGGTACCATGTTCACTAAATGGGTGACAAGATCCATACAAGCCCCATACAAGCCCAAACCTCAGCATGATGCAATATACCCAAGTAATAAGCCTGCACATGTCCACTCTGACTGTAAAATAAAAATTTAAACAATTATATTTTATACATGATAAAAGAACCATCACAAATTTAGAAATAATAAATGTATCATCTACTAAAATATCAGATTTCCATAGTAGATTGTGTGTGCATAAACTTTTGTGCAAATAACTTATGAATATCATTTCTTAAAATAGCTTAAAAATTACTACATATCAACTAAACATGAAAAACATGGGTGTAGCAGCAGAGTGGAGACAGGCAAACAAGTATGAGACAAAATGTAATAATGTCCTACATAGAATCTCTACTTCCAGTTATACATAGTTCTTTTTATTTTTTTTTTTATTTTTTATTTTTGTCCTCAAATAGAAAGAAATAGTCAAGAACTTTGCTGGAAGGCATTCTTCTAAGAATGTAGATGACAGTTTTCAGGGCATATGTGTGTAAAGATTGGTAACAGTCAGATATAAATAAACCTGTCTTAACTTGATTCAACAATGATTATAACTATTACTCAAATTACTACACCAAAGGATTTTGTAAACTGCATTACAACATTGCTGTACAATAACACTGAGTAAAGCCAGTCATAAGAAACATTGTTTCTCTTCTTTTACGAAGTTATTTCTAGGTATGTAATAATTCTGTTGAAGAATTATAAATTACAGATTTGAAAGACTTAATCACCAATTCTGAAAGGATTAATAAACTAAACATTAAAAATTGATCCAAATTTAGGACAGTTTCTTATCATTTTTTAACTCACTTAAAAAGATCAAGTGGTATGTTTAGAACAGGTTAATTACATTTTAGTCTGTGTCATTTAAATTTTAATGTCAATCATTGATATTAAGAATGAAAATTAACAAATTTACTCTATACAACTAGGTAGCCTCAAAATCTCCATGGCAAAGCCCATGTTTTTCTAAAATCTAGTATTACCTGGGCACTTTAATTCATCTGAATAGTCTCCACAGTCATTAGACCCATCGCATATCCAGGTTGGCAGAACACACAGTGAAGTAGAATTACATCTTATGAACCCTGTGGTTTTCACTCCAAGTTTATAGAAGTGTGTACAGTCTGTGTTATCTAGAAGAAGGTAAACAAAAAAATGAAAAAGTACCTCATTTGCAAAGATTATGAGCCTTCTATGTAGGTCACAGAGATGAGAAAAGTTAACTTCATTTGAGGAAATAGATACGTAATTATCCTACACAACAGGGGTTAATTACATACCAATTTTGGACAAAGTTCAGTAAAATCTTGCACAGTGTTCAATGCAATGCCAAAAGTGCCCAAGCATAAACAGATGAAAGGTAGCGGAATATCTTACTGCAGTTCTTTTCATCTGAAGCATCTGCACAGTCTATGTTCTGGTTGCATCGTGCTGATCTTGGAATACAAGTCCCATCTGCACAGCGGAACTCAACTGTGGCACAGGTTGAAACTAGAGAAACAGGTACATAAACAAATGGAGAGACGGGACAGAATGACTCCTTGCTTTTACTTTTTGAACAATTCAATTATTTTGTATAATTTTGTTTGGTTTTGCTTTTGTAACTCTGGGAAGCCAAACCTGACCCCTGAACCCCACCTTCAAACGTGGGTTAGATGCCTCTTATATGTCTTCCCCTAGCACACAATTCTTCTCTCTGTTGTGGTATTTAGCATATTGCATTGAGGCTGCCTGTTTAAGTCCCTGAAGTCTCACTAACTAAACATAAGCTCCATAAGAGTAGGGACTATGCTGTGTTCCTATCACATTGTTGTGGTAATATCACCCTAGCACTGAGCCAAAAAAAAAAAAAAGAATGCTGGAGATTGTCTCTCTTTCCACCTTCAATATTCCAAAGTTATGAGAGTAGACAAATGCCTGATTAAATACCTACTGGGAAATCCCAACCTGGTTGCCAAGAAGGGAAGCATTTCTTGCCATAATAGAGTGAGATAGAGATTGGCAGGGGGAACCACTGAGCACTGGCTTTGTTTCTCAGAGGGAAGAGTTTACCACTACTAGAAAGTCATCCATGCTATCTCATACTCTGTTACATGACCATTCATCATTAATATTTAATATAAGAAATAGGATGCCTCATGCCCAGGAACATATAAATGTGTCATTCCTTATTATTGTTGTTATAAAAGTCATCCAATTCTCTGCTCTACTTAAATGAAAATTAGATTCAATGCGCTATTATCATTATATACATTTTGTATGAAGTATCTTATTCTTAATCATATATTCCTTTCTATGTTGCTTACCCATTCATAATCATATAATGGTTTCCAGTAAAATGCTGTAAATGGGTACATTACATGCTATGTATGTTAAATTAACTTAGGTGATATTTTTATTCCAAATTCAAATTTTTACAAGTTGATTACCTCGAAGGACAACCTGAAGGGCCCTTTGATTATGCCACTTTTACAAGTGTTGATATTTTAAAGTGCCTATTTAATTATAAATAGAAATTATATCAATCGTAAATGGTTAAAATGCTATTTTAAAATATGCAGATTTTACTCAAGGATGTGTATGTCATTTGTATTTCATAATGTACGGTTCTTATTATATTGAATTGTATCTCAAAATTGCATACTTATCTGTTTAAATGATGATTAGAATAAATGTTTTATTTACAATTTGTAATTATAATTGCTTCACTTTTTTATTAAAAATGATATCACAACATGTGAAACAGATAATACTCTTACAAGTAGACATAAATGCATTGTTCCAAAACAGAACAAATTATTTTCTTTTATGTCCATAGGAGCAAAACCTCTTCTATATTCTTTTGTGTTACATTTCATATTCTATTTTTTCAATAGAAATAGTAAATGCAATATGTAATGTAGAATATAATCATGTCAATCATTTACATTTCGTTTTTGGCTTCACCATCTACTAGTAGTTTCTTATTAACTTTGTTCTAAAAGATAGCTTATAATCTCTTTTTAAAAGACATATCGCATTTCTCTGCTTAATAACATTTTAGGTAGTTATAATATTCCTAAGTAAGCCTATAATAGTTCACCTCATAATGCACTAGAGTTTCTATCTACTTGAAGTTAGAGTTTTGGATGCCAGGAAGATGCTAATGGGGACACTTGCCACTCATTTCATGGTCACCATCTGCCTCCAATCTCCTATAGAGAATCCTCTGTCTGAGTGAGAAGTAGTGGCAGAGATAACGAAGAGGCAAATGTAGGGAATGGCATTTCAGACAGTCAAGAAAACTGGAAATTCAGGGATTTCACAGTAATAGGGTTTCAAAAACCAGTACTGGAAGTTCTGAGGTAACAGAGAAAGTAAAGGATAACTTGGGAGAACAGTGGAAGGACACGTGGAACAAATGGAACATAGTCCTAGATTGAGTTCTGGAAACAAGAAAGAAATAGAGGACCTCAAACTACATGAAAAGAAACTTTAACTTTGAAGTTCAGAAGAGGGGTTAGAAAGTAGTAATTTTGAAAAAAAACTATATTAAAAAGCATAAGGAAATAGATAAAGGAGGAAGTTCGCAGTATAGAACAAAGAATAGAAGACTTGCAGGATGTATTAATTTTTTTCTCCTATTTTCCAAAATAACAATAAGGCTAGTGAATCCTCGGGAAGGGGGCAAGGATGGGCTATCAGAATGTGTAAGATGTGCAAGTAAGAACAGACTGTCCCTTTGTACCTGATCCTGTCTCCACATGTTGCATTATTTGGTATAGGGTTGAGAACCACCAGAGAGTTAGATAGGGTGATGAAAGTTGTTGCAGAATTTTATAAGCAATATGAGCAAGGTGATTGTGGGGATTAATATCTCCTGCATTAACAGGCAAGGAAGGAGAATCCTGTGAGGAAGAAAAAAATCTGCAGAAATAGTAGGAACTTCTTTAGATAAGTAAACACATCTCATGCCAAAACCTCTCTCTGTTGCCTCAACTATATTTCTTCTTCACTTTGTTTTAGTCAGTTAAGTATTGGAATTTGTTTCATCCATATGGTGATTTTTGAGGAAGAAAGATACTGAAATCTCTAATTTGTCAAGTGAATATGAAAGTTTTCTGACAACATTTCCTCAGGCTAAGAGTCCTGATAAGGAGAGAAAATAAAAGAATATGGCCCAAATAAAGATAAGCCGAGGGAGAGATACTACACTTTCCCCTCCAGGTAGTCCAAAAGAAAACGTAAGCCTATGAAACATGAGTGAAAACACCCTACAGCCACAGCAGGAATAGCAATGAGGCACTACAAAGGAAGATCTGTCAGGGACTGTGGATCAAAAGTAGCAGCAAGAGAGAAAGTAAAACCACTCTCTGTAATATACTTTCTTAATTTTACTATTTCTTCCACTTTCTTTTTAGCATGTCAGCTAAAATATTTAATGAGATTTGAAAGATTTAAAAATCAATGGCTTTTCTGCAGTTCTTAGGATGTTTCTTATAAATAACTTAAGTCCATTCTCTCTTCCAACATCCCTTACCCAACCTGTAGCAAAGGGAAACTGAAAAGGGGGGCGGGGCGGGGAGGCATTAAGTTTGCTCTCGTATCTCCCTTTCATTTACTTTCAAACAACTTCTTTTATTTAATTATTTAATTCACCCCTTAGGTTCTAAGGGTGCACAAATCCAGAAGGAATGCCAGTTTCTTCTCCAGCTATGTTTATCCTTTTCCTTTAGCTTGTTGTTTATGGAATTTTTCAAAGGTTTACTATAAACTTAGGAAAAAACAAATGCTAGTTTCCCCTCCTTTAAGGAGCATCAGAACTGCTGGCTCAGTCTACCTAAAACTCCTTCCGTGGCCCTAAGGAATTTCATGTACTTCCCAAAGGGAGCAGTTTGTACTCATCTCAGCAGGGAAGAAAGCATATCGTGCACTCTCCCTGAATATATTCACTCACCCTGCCACGCAACCAGAAGAGGAGCACAAAATGACACACTTACGAACAATGCCTCATCTCCGCACCTGCAGGTGGCCTGATGTCTAAAGCTCTCAGTCATGAAAGGGCCTCAAGAAAGGGGCAGTAAATTTAAAAAATGATGAAGATTTGGCATGGTTTTTTCCCCCCAAAAGAGAAGAAGCCAAAAGCAATTCATTGCCACACCCTTTCTACTCTGTAAATAGACTCTCTGCTCTTGCGAAATTTTAAAAAAGTAGTAATTACTACTGACATCTACATTCAGTAAACTATAGTAGTACTTCAGATAATTTACAGATGGCTCCACGATAGCCTCTTACCACAGTCTATCAAAATCTCCCTGTATATCCCGACTTCTAATTATATCACTTTATCTTTTATATTTTATTTTGATTAAAAAGTGATAGGTGATTTGCATGTCTGCATATATGTGCAAAACAGCACTGCATCTGTACATTGCACTGACAATAGAAAGAGAGAAGGGGCAACTGGAAGAAAGGGCTTGGAAAGAGACCTCTTTTCCATTTTCCCTGAACCCCTTATCTATGCCTTTTCCTTTATCATCTTTTATGTACTATAAGGGAGATATTTGGTGGAAACACATTTGCATAATATAAGTCTTTATCAGACAGCCTGGCTTATGGGATATGGACCCAGGGAAATCTTCCTTCTATAGCTTGAAAGGTACTCTACAATGACACTATGTTAATAAGCTTAAAATGAGAGAAAAGTCAAAACTAAAAGATTCAATTAAGAGTAATCTTTCATCCAAATAGCTACCAATTGTTTATCCTAAAGGAGCTAGTCCATTGAATTAAATTCACTAGTTTCTATTAAGTAATAAAATATATGCTTGTGTTTCCATGAGCAATTTTAGTTTCAAATGTCCTGCATTCAGTGTGACCAGCTTTAAGGCATAAGTTTTGCTTGTTTATTTTTAAGATATCCAACTGTTATAATTTTACCATAAAAGAAAAGTTAAAAGAGAAGCTTCATTCACGAAGGCACTGTTCTGTGCCCAAGAATATGACTAAGATAGTTATAACACAGAAATCAAGAGTTTAGACTGAAAAAGAGGAAATATCTATTTGAGTTATTTTATTGTTATTCAGCAGCTGGTATTGATATCATTAGGCAGAATAAAATCTATTTATATTTTAGAAGACTTAGTGCTTCAACCAGCCACATAAGAATATAATAAACACCTACCATATATGAGGTATTATATTTCATAAACCCAAACACACTGACTAATTTACTTACCACTTTTGAAAATACACTTTCATTTCTGGAGAAAACCCATAGTAACGTATCATCTTCCCACAGTTTATTTTGATGAATCTTGCCTTAAAATCTATTTTCTGTATTTATTGCTCAGTTCCGGTACATTCTTTCTTGATTGCTTTACCTTTAACCTGGGTTAATGCCTATATTATATTTTCCTTTCCTGCTTACAAATAATTGACAGAACATATCTATTTCTAGGTCTTCTAATTTCTTTTCCTCCTTTCTTCCAAATGCTAATTTATTTCCCTCCTCCTACTTCCAGTGTCTGACTATATTTTACCTTTTTAAATCTTGTTAAATCCTTTTTAAATTAAGTTAATAGGTAACTTAATTGGCAAATGCCATTAGCTCTTTCTAAGCTACAGTGTCAACCTTAGATGATAATCTATGCAAGTGTTGCCACAAAGTCACACTGTCTAAGATGGCAGAGTAACTTCCCAATGTTCCATACAGCTACAAAATAATTTGCACACATTCTGCCCCCTTCCTCAACTCTGCATAGCCCTGTCATCACAACTGTACTTCATACCTTTCCTTTACCATCAATCTTTTCTAAAAACAGTTTATATTCACTGTCTTTATTCCTTACCACCCATTTTCTGCCTTCACACTATGTGCTCTTGCTTTCCTCTACTATTCCACTGAAATGACACCCATGAATGTAATCAAGTGAGTATCTACTATTTGCCAAATATGATGGATACCTCCAGTTCATACCTGCCCTCTTGTCCTTTCTGTAGCACTTGAAAATGCTGAATGACCCTCCTTTCTTGAGATAATAATTTCTTAAGCACATCTTTCTATTAGTCCTGCAGGCTACTTCACTTTTCCGTATATAATTTGTTATTCCAATAAGTAATTTTGATGCACTCTACTCATGCAATCATTACTCCCCACTTCCTCTGAGTTTTTCTCCTTAATGTGCCCCAAATCAATATTTCTGATAAACATCTATTACCTGAGTTCCAAATCTCTACCTATCTACATGCCTGTGAAATAGCTTCATTTACATGTCTTCAAGTGCTCCAACCTCAAAATGCAAACTGTCATTATTGTCTTATCCCCATTCCCACACAATCAAATCGTATTATTACAGGTTTCATTAACACAATCCTATTCTTTTCTTTCCTTTTGAATTGTAAATTTGATTGTATTTGGCCTGCTTTAAACCTTCAGTGACTCTCTAGTGACTACAAGATAAAGTTTGAGTCACTTCTCATGGCACAAAATGCACCTTCATGCCCTGGCCCCTTCCTCTACCTTCTCTTTTGTTTGTTTGTTTGTTTTTGTTTTTTCGGGGGTGGGGGAATGCAGTCTCGCTCTATCACCAGGCTGGAGTGCAGTGGTGCAATCTCAGCTCACTGCAACCTCCACCTCCTGGGTTCAAGCGATTCTCCTGCGTCAGCCTCCCGAGTAGCTGGGACTACAGGCGACTGCCACCACGCCTAGCTAATTTTTGTATTTTTATTAGAGATGGGGTTTCACCATGTTGACCAGGATGGTCTCAATCTCTTGACCTCATGATCTGCCCACCTCAGCCTCCCAAAGTGCTAGGATTACAGACATGAGCCACTGTGCCTGGCCCCTTCTGTTTTTACCACTTTCATATATGTAATCTGTCTGTGACTATATCAAATTACTTTCAGTTTCAATACTAGTCCTTTTACTTGGTATTCTCTTTTGTTTCCTTCATTCTACCTTATTTTTAGTTTAAGACTCATCTTAAATTCAGTATAGCCTACGAAACCTTTGAGGATACTTCAAAGCCAAAAACCAAAAAAAGACATATGCATGTTCTTATGTGTGCAATCACAGATATATATCTTCATCTGTTTACATGGCTGTCTTACAGTTAGAATTTGATATTCTCGAGTGCAGGCACGTATCTCATGAATTTTGTGTCTCAAATCTTAATGCATTGCAGTCAATAAAATGTGTTCATTGAATGGAAAGGCTTTAAAGTGATAATGCTTTGGAAATATCTGTGGGGTCCAGATTTAAGAAGACTTTCAATGTCAGACTAAAACTTATCATGTATTCTGCAAACATTGACATTCCATTAAAGGTTTCTTTATCAGTGCAATACACACACACACACACACACACACGCCAGTGCTAATACAGCATTCACTATTGCCAAATACTGTTCTAAACTTATTTAATATTGTTATTCTTATTTCATTATTTTTCCTACCTTGCTGTTTGGGAAACTGAGACACAGAATAGTTAAGTGCAATATCCGAATTTGGACAGTAAGTGTTGAGGCAGCAGTTTGAACTCAGGTAATTTGGCTTCATCATCTATCCCAATAGTCACTTTGGGAAAATGTTAAACAGTATTAGCATGACTGATGACATCGGGATGAAATGGAAAAAGTATAAGCAGGGAAACCAGGTAAAGGGATACTCTGTTAACCCAAGCTTAAATTGGATTGAAATGGAAGCTATTTCAAAGAACTGGAAGATGTGTTGATGATTGGATATGTGAGAAGGAGAAATTAAGGAGAACACCAAAGTTTCCTGTACAGTGGCTAGGAAAATGTGATCGTGAGTAAAACAGAGAACTACAGGATAAAGGGGAACATTTTTGGAGCAGAAAATTCAATATTACACATTCTGGTAAAAATGTCCAAATCCAGGAAGGTGGAACTGAAGAGGTGAGAAATTGTAAGTGTTTTAAAGTGAGGAAACGAATAGAAAACAGAAATAGAGAACACAGTCAGAATTTTCAAGTAACTTTAGCAACTCCATTCCAACAGCATTTACCAAAATGTGATCCATAGATGTTACTAGGTGTTATATACCATAGAGCTCTCAGAAATGAATGTTGGAAAAGTTCAGGAAACACTTAGCACACCGATACTCCGAGACTGATGGAACAAGTATTTACCTTTACAATCTAATTCATCAGAGTTGTCTCCGCAGTCATTTTCTCCATCACATAACTTGCCATGAGGAATGCAGCGGCGATTATAGCAAGGTTTGAAGCCTCTTCGACAGCTTCTGTTTTCTTATAAATAAAAGTAGAAACTCATAACCAGAGATCATATAGAAATATTTGTACAAAATGAAAATCACAGATAATATTTCATTCATAATGACTGGATTATGGATCTATAAAATAAGTGCTGTGCTGTACAAAAGCTGTGGATTAGAATGTTTCTGTATTGTCAAAGAGTAGTTCATTCAGCAAGGGCCCTTTCTGACTTAGTGTTTTAACTTTAGTGATTCATGCCTGGAGATCTTTTCAAGTTATACCCATGTTATTGTTTCTGGCAATTCTGTCAAGTAGCACAGAAATAAACATATATCACATATTCAATGCTGAAGCGATAAATATGTACCTCAAACATAACAAAAACACTCCAACATCCATTTCCTATATCCTTTGCATCTATCTGTAAGGATTTTATAACGAGGAGAAAAAGCAACAAAACATGTATTCCTGAATCAGTGTCTCATGGAGTCATCTAAATATCAACACATTGCTCTTAAAAATTATCTTAAAATATCTACAGAATTCCCTGAGAAAGAATGACCTTCTGAGTTCTATTTACCATTATGAAGTTTTCTTGACATTCTCTGATTTGGGGCAGAAGCTACTACTTACAATAATTATAGCCACCATGTATTAAATGTCAGCTTTGCCCCAGGCTCTGTACTGAGTATATGTAGATAAATACTTGCTGGTTTAATACTCTCAACTACTCATAAGAGCTAGCTATTTCATAGCAGAAAACTAAAACACAGAGAAGTGAGTTATGTTACTTACCCTAGGTAAGTTACACTAGGCTAGTTACACTAGCAGGTTTGGGAACAAAGATCTAACTTCAGGTGTGAGTCCAAAGCCCATACTCTACACCTGGCATTGGCAAACTATTACCCATAGGCCAGATCTAGCCTGTGAGACTGTTTTCATATCGCTATTGGACTAAGAATAGTTTTAACATTTTTAAAGGATGATAAATAATAAACAACAGAGGATATGTGACAGAAAGCATATATGACCCACAAAATCTAACATATTTACCAGCTGAACCTTTACAGAAAATGCTTGCCAACTCCTGCTCTACACGAGTATCATCTGACTTCCACAAAGATAAAAACAAAAATAACATGAAATATAATCTCAAGTCAACTTATAGTAAATGCAAACCTGTGAGTTTATTACTTTTATATGCTTTAATATTTTTATATCTTATAGAATATAGCCATTCATTAAAGCAAATATGTTATTTGAGATAAATTCTTTCAGATATTGGTTGCATATCAATTATGGACAAATTACATTAGACTCTCAGTTTAAATGATGGTGTGTTATCATGTAATGTAAAAGAGTGAGAAGACTGTCTGTGGAACTCACAGATCCTGTCTTTCCCTTGTTCTGACTTTTCTTTAATTATTCAGGTGTAATTATTACCAGATAATGGAATAGAGGAGAAAAGTAGGCATAAAATGTAGCAATTTCAGATATAGACTCCTAAATTTTGCATAGCATATGAGCCCAATGCTATTGGATTTCCAGGATTAAAAATAAATCAGGACCATTTTTTAAAAATCTGGATCAAATATACAATGATTATCAATGATTATGCAAAGACAGATTTCCAGGAAAAATATTGTTGCAATGAAGGGAAATCTCAGCTGCTTACTAGAGCATAAAAGCTAATCTCTACTCCTGAGGGAGGTTAGAGGTTGACTGTCACTAGGTGTTGCCAAAAGCAGCATAGCTGGTGGAATTCTATGTTTGATGTGGACCGTGCCTAGGAAATGAGCCTTTGTACCAAAGGACACTAGCTCCCATGCTAATCCTGGAGACAGAAATAGAACTGACAAGACTTTGATAACAACCCAACAATGTGCTATTGTCTGTTGGTGAAACTTTGCTTCAGAGTAAGCCTGTCCATATCCAAAAACCACTGATATTTCTGAGTTACATTTTAAGGAAAGTAAGCCTAAAACCTATTGCTAGAGATGAATAAGTAGGAAGTTCAGAAGATTAGCTACTACTTTTAAAAATATTCATATTCTGGCTGGATGTGATGCTCAGACCTGTTATCCTAGCACTCTGGGAGGTTGAGGCAGGAGGATTGCTTGAGATCAGCAGTTTAAGACCAGTCTGGACAACACAATGAGACTCTGTCTCTTTAAATAAAATAAAATAAAAAAGTCTATTTTGTGGATCTAAAACCATGAAGAAATTATTTAGTGAATATCATGGCTATCAAATAGGAGATAAAGTACCTCATTTTAACACAAGCAAAGCCACATCAATTGCCTTAGATCAACAGGTTAATGAGAAATATTAAAGAAATTATCCACATAAACCAAACAGAGACAAGCAAACCAAAAACTGTAAAAGAATCAGAAAACTTTATCTGAAATTAGCAAACCCATATTGGACACTTACCACAGTAGAGCAGTTTTTCATCTGATTTGTCCTTACAGTGAGGAATGCCATCACAGGTGAGCTGGTAGTCAATGCACTCACCATTTCCACATTCAAACTCCAAATAAATGTTGCAGGAGGAATTTTTAGCTGCAAGAAAAAAAAAAAAAAAAAAAAAAAGTCAATGCTTTTGTGCAATGACCAATATTTTTTGACACCACTATAATTATTTTTCTTAATTTTAATTATAAAGATAAACTAAAATTTATCAAAATGTAAAATTAAAGAGTCATGGTTTATGACATTTCTTTATGAAATTAAGATCTTAAAAAATCATTTTCTAGCCAGGCACAGAGGCTCACGCCTGTAATCTCAGCACTTTTGGAGGCCGAGGTGGGTGGATCACGAGGTCAGGAGATTGAGACCATCCTGGATAACATGGTGAAACCCCATCTCTACCAAAAATACAAAAAATTAGCCGGGCGTGGTGACACGTGCCTGCAGTCCCAGCTACATGGGAGGTTGAGGCAGGAGAATCGTTTGAACCTGGGAGACCAAGGTTGCAGTGAATGGAGATCTCGCCACTGCACTCCAGCCTGGGCAACAGGGCAAGACTCTGTCTCAAAAGAGTAATAATAATAATTATTATTATTATTGTTTTTAAAAAGAGCCAGTTAAATGAGCTCGTACATACTGAAAGTGTTTTTGTGTTTTCTTACTGGAATCTATTATGTATTTTTCAATATACTAATATTTTTCAGTGCGTACAGTACCCATTGTGAATGTTCGATGTGAACCATCTCAGTCAAATGAATAGTCCCTACTTTTCCCCACTTTCTGGTCTTTCTAACTATCTTCTGATTAAACCTCAGTAGCAAGTTATACTGTTCAGAAATATAAGAATTGTTAAAATAAGACCTTTGTCCGATCCATGTGTGGGAGGTTCCCAGGAGCAGACTCTTTCTTGCTGCCATACACGAGCAGCACCTACTCCATAAAGTGTACAGGAATCAGTGGGATGAGGGCCAGGAGGACGATGGTCAAGTGGAAAGCATGTGCACCTGATTCTATGGACTCCAAATGACTGCTGTCAGAAAGTCTCATTTCTAAGCCTCAGAATTTTTATTAGAAATTAAGAGTTTGAATTTTTAGGTGATTTGCACTAATTTGTAAGTTAAGAGTCTGAAAGTACAAAAAGATCTTTTCTACAGTTAAGTTTCATCCTTACAATGGCAGTATGTGATTACTATTTTGAAGGGTTGCTATTGAGGACAATGGACTTATTTTTAATCTTCAGTAATAGATTTACCAGCAGACTTTGGGGTCCAATTTTTGGGATATACTGTCTGCTTGCATGTATGTACTCACCCCGTTGCTTGCTGAATAATTGTACATTTAAATACATTTGTATTATTTATGTTGGAGGTAAGCAGAATTCATTCATCTCTGCTAATGAAAGAATATAGCTTAATTTTATAATTTAGTATTAGTTTTTGAGCTTTATTTCAGGAATATTCAATTAAACAGCCACTAGTACTATTTGAATTTTCCAAGGTTTTATTTCTTTATTATTCCTAGAATTTAATTAATTTAGTAGAGGGCCTATTTATCTAAGGCTTTTTTTTTAAAATTATGTCAATTTTTATTTTAGATTCAGCAGGTACAGGTGCACGTTTGTTACATGGGTTTACTACATGATACTGAGGTTTAAGATATGATTGATCCTGTCACCCAGGTACTGAGCACAGTACCAATAGTTATTTTTTTTTTACCTTTGTCCACCCTCTTTCTCTCCTCACTCTAACAGACCCAAATGTCCATTGTTGCCATCTTAGTGCCTTTGGGGAAAAGACAAAAACTATTCAAAGATAAATAGGTTTTGTATATTATGCAAAAACAAATATTATATGAATACAATTCTTCTTCAGGTACGTTCATTTGACAAAATAATATTGAGTGCTTTCTGCTTCTTTCTGGAAACATCATGGTTCAGTTGCCCTTATTCTCCTGAACAGCAATTACTTCATCTAATTATATTTACTATATCTATTTCTTTTATGGATTACAATAAGATTAGCAATGTTGTATGCAAGGGGACTGCCTAATCTTCTTGTCAACAGTTATGACAACAAATGGTTTTCCCTCATTTGCCCTCAGTTAGGTGTTAGTACATGATCTTTCACCCCTTTAATGCTGCCATTAACATTCATGAACTGCTCTGGGTAAAATCACTTAGATGAGGACACAGATATGCTACAAACATTCTCATGTCCCTAAAGATGAATTTGACAAGGAGAAGCCAAGAGTTACTTTCTAATCTCTGCGCTGGACTACAGGATTTCAATATGAATGCACAATGGATGTCGTCTGCCTCTATAACAGATTGTGAGCTCTGAGGAATCCAATATCACTCTACAGTTCCATGTGAATACAATCGTGCTTGTTTAAAATGACAGTTTTCTTCCTGATTCATTTCCTCTCATCAACAGAGAGAAGCTTAGTAGGGACAGTTATATTGAATGTATTATGCAGCAAGGACAGGCCTGCACTGTACAGAAATAAGCTTTGCCGTTGTGACTAAAGGCATTGCTTCACTACTAGCCTGCAGTGACCTGTGAAAGAAACATGAGTGATTCTAATGCATGTCTAACACTCCAGGCTTACAGATGGCATCAGATCCAGACCATTACAGCTGAAACCACAAAGGCAAACTGAAAGAATTTAAGCAATTGCCTGAGCAATTCAGAGAAGTGTTAAGTGACAAAGAAATATGGGAATTTGTGGTCCGAAATATGGAAATTGGCCATCTGTATTTAAAATTTTGACCAATTGCATCATTTTCTCATTTGCTTTGGCACAGTCTTAAATAAAACAACTTTTACTTTTTGTGCTAAGAGGTGCCTTTTTGGGTTGTAGTATCAACTTGCACAGTGAGAAAATATGTTTATGTTATTTTGTATATGGTGTAATAGTTTTCAAGCTGAAGAAAATTATGCCCAAGCACTTACATTGAAGAGCAGGTAAGAGATAAAATCCTTCCATTGGAAAGAGAGTAAAAAACGACTAAAGATGAAGATGAAAAATACTTATTTTTATTATGTAGACATATCCAACTCTGTTAATTTTCTCCATGAAAAGATATGCACTGAGGATATACTTAATGGGTGAGGAGAGAAAAAAATGTATCAAATTTGACACATCCTGAGAGTGATTTCACAAATTTCCAACAAGATTCTTCTCTCCCACCTTATATATATATTTTCTTAATGTTAAAAGGAAATTAACCTTTTTAAATTTTACTTGCAAGCTTTTCATGGCAGTATTGAAACACTTGAACTTTGATTTATTTTGGAAACAGTTTTGGAAACTTAGCTGTTAATAAGTGTATATTGTAATGGTACTAATTAAAGATTGTAATGCCTTTGGGAGGTATAAACATCATGCAAGGCTGCAATGTTACACTCTTAATTAACAGTTTGGAAATGATTACAAATAAGCTGCATGAGCCATTCTCTCTCATTTACATACTGTGATGGACTGTGAGTGGTTTTACAGCAAGGCTACTGATATACTGCCTGTATACCAGTTTATTTCAGCTTCAATTACTTTTGCTATTGATTGAATTCACAAAGTCACAGCTGGAAGTTTTCAGATGACCATTGTGTGCAGATACTTCTCTACCTAGCCCCAATACTTTCTAGTGCACAACCAGGAGGGTAAAAACATATGTTACCATTTTGGTTATCATTATCTAGTACATGGTGTTATAACTAAGCAGAACAGCGAACTCAGTTTTCTTTAGAGCAGAGAGATAACACGACTAAGCTTCTAATATTGGAAGAGAGTATAACTTCATGAATACACAAACACAATTTCAGTTATGTGTGTGGAATTTGGAACAGATATGTCGTATTACATTTCAATTCTCTTTACTTACTCACACATCTGTTGTCCTCTAGCAATATTCGGTCCCCTCTGCAGGAACAATTCACTCTCCCATTGGGAGTTAAAAGGCACAAGTCATGGCAGCCTCCATTCAATAATGCACATGGAGAAAGTTCACCTGCAATAAAGAGGTTGTATTGGTAACATTTTATATCGAATTTCCATTCTATGTTAGATATATATTAATAGTAAACTATTAGACTGCCTCAATCTCTCAATAATATGCCATTAAAAAGCAACATTCAGGACTTTTGAAAATCTAAGCACTCCTAAGGCTAAGTACATTACAAAAGTATGTAACACTAATCAAATCTTTCTAATACATCTGATACCATGGCATCAAATGAACTAGTTCTGCTAGAAACCACATTGATACTGCAAACTGCAATTTTGTAAGCACTGCATTGACTAAAGAACTGTTAAGCCCAGATGCAAAGTTTATCTATCAAGTGTAATTTTCATGATTTGAAACAACGTGATTTGAAAATTCAAACATATGAAGATTGAGAGAGAAATAAGATTTTTAGAAGAAATAATAAAAATGAACTGCTCCTGTGATGGTAAATTATGCAATATAGAAGTTGCCTTGAATATTTCAGATAATTTCAATATTTTGAACAGCCAAATCTTGAACACTATTCCTAAGAACTATAAAAAAAAAAACAAAATCAACCATCGTAGTAATAAAAAATAATATTTTTAAAAAGAAAAAACAAATCCAACTATTACTAGGAAACATATATACATTTTTAGAGATCAGAGATTATACAATGAGGAAATACATTTGCTTTCTATTATAACTTACAGCTATTGGTGTCATTGGCAACAGCTATGATTCCCATTGGCTGATGTGGAATATCGGAACGAAGAATTTTTGTATCTCCTCCTGTGTACTTGTTGGACCGCAGGATAGCTCTTCTTCCCCAGTCTGACCAGAATATATAATTGTCATAAACAGCCAAGCTGAGGAAGGTTCCTGGGCTGGACTTAACTATCACCTGAAATAAATTAAAATACTGTATTTTTATGATTAATATATAGATATTTATATATCCACACCCATTTTTGCTTCAAAAATAAAAGATTTGGTTTAGTTGGATTTAATTAACATAAATCATCAGATAAAAATAAAATTTTACTAAATGAATTATGATATGCTTTATATTTAAAATGTTTTAGTCATTGTTAGTGCTTGCAATGTATTTACATAATATCTCAAGTATACTTTTATTTAACAATTCAATGTGTACAACAAGTGTATTGTTTGGTATTATAAACAAAAATCAACAAGCCAAAAATATTAGATGAAGATTATACACATTTATTAACCTTTAGTAAGAAATCACCGGATATACAGTAGATACTCATCAAGTTCCCAGAACTACCTATGGAATATAAAGAACCATAAGATCTAGGTTCTTTCTTCAGGAAGTTCACCACATGAGTGACTAAACTAGTACATGTCTGAGAATAAAAGTTTAGAAGTAAAGACCATACTTTCATTCAGACCAGTTCGGAGCAAAAGGGACTAGATTTATCTTTTCATCTAAAATAACCACACAACAGCAAAATATAGGAAACAACACTTTTGAAAACATTGCACATCAGGAAATGAAAGGCATTGATTTCTGGGTAATAGGAAATACTGGGTGCATCCTATGGCATCCACCATTTACCAGAGCGAGATTATAAGTAGCAGCACACACAGGACAGAAACAGAGCCCAGATAATTCTACGAATAAAAGTTATGGGAAGTGAAAGTTATGGGAAAGTTATGGGTTGCTATATCTCACTGGGCAGGGGGTCAAGAGTAGAGAGTTCAGCAGAGGGAACTGTGAGTATCTGAAAAGAGTCATCCTGGAGCATTCAGTCAAGTACTGATAAGTGCATGCATGTGTGCGAGCCAACTCCTCCAGGCTGGTGAAAGAACCACTGGAAAGGATGAGAGAGAAGAGTCCCCAAGTTCACATGGGTCCAGAAATCATGCCTGTTAACAACAACCAGATTCAAATATTTAATTCAAATTCTAATTCATGAGACTCTGAGTACTCTTTAGGGTCTGCCTGAGCAGTGGGGAACTACTAACCTAGACTAAATAAACTTTGTTCTAGTCTTCTCTAACAAATCGTAAAAGCCAAGCCTGAAAGGAGTAAACTGTTTCAAACTAGCTTAACTGTCAATAATTTTTTATGAGAGTATAAAAATGTATACCAGCAAACTATTATGCAAGGAAAATGTAAAAAGGAAGAAAATCCTCAAATCAATGACTTCTGCTTCCACTTTAAGAAACTAGAAGAAAAGTAACTTAAACTCAAAGTAATAAAAGGAAGAAACTAAAGAAGGGAAATTTAACAAAATAGAAAACAGAAAAACAATAGAGCAAAATCAGTAAAACTAAAAACTGGGTTTTTATGTCAATAAAATGGCTAATACATCATAAAATTTGGTTTGTCCCAGGAATACAACTTGATTCAATATTAAAAAATCAATCAACATAATTCACCATAATAGCTGACTAAAGAAGAAAACTCATATACATGTCCCAACACATGCAGAAAAACCACGATAAGATATGGCTTCTATTCTTGACAAAAACCTCAAAAACTAATAATAGAAATATAATGAGGCACAAAACAGGGGTGATCACTGTCACTACTTCTATTTAACATTATCCTGGAGTTTCTAACTAGTATAAAAAGGCAAAAAAATAAAAAATAAAAAGAATCTACACGGGAAAAGATAAGTCAAACTGTCTTCATTTGCAAGTGACTAAATCCTCTACATAAAACATTTAACAGAATCTACAACAAATGCTGCTAGAATTAATAAATTAATTTAGTAAAATTGCAGGATACATGGCTGTTATTAAAAAGTAAATTGTATTTCTGTATACTAGCTATGAACAATTAGAAATTAAAATTTAAAAAAGCTATTTACAATAGCCTCTACAAATATATTTAAATATAAAAACATATGTACAAGAATCTGAAAACTATAAAACATTGCTAAGAGAAATTAACAAAATCCTAAATAAAGAGATGTATAGAGAAGAAGAAGTATAACGTATGTGTATAATTTGTCATCTTTACAATCTTTAAGTGTATAATTTGGTGGTAATAAAAATATTTATATTCCTTTATTAACTTTTAAGTTCAGGGGTATATGTGCAGGTTTGTTATATAGTTAAGTTTGTATCACAGGGGTTCATTGTACAGACTGTTTCATCCCTCAGGGGTTAAGTTTAGTACCCATTCATTATTTTCATTATTTTTCCTGATCCTCTCGCTCCTCTCACCCTCTCCCCTCCAATGGGTCCCAGTGTCTATTGTTCTCCTCTATATGTCCATGTGTTCCCATCATTTAGCTCCCAATTATAAGTGAGAACATGTGGTATTTGGTTTTCTGTTTCTGCATTAGTTTGCTACAGATAATGTCCTCCAGCTCCATCCATGTTTCTACAAAGAACAAGATCTTGTTATTTTTGGTGGTTGCATGGTATTCCATGGTATAAATGCAGCATATCTTCTTTATCCAGTCTACCATTGATGGACATTTCGGTAGATTCCATGTCTTTGCTATTGTGAGTAGGGTTGTAATTAACATACATGTGTATGTATCTTTACAATGGAATGATTTACATTCCTTTGGGTATATACCCAATAATGGGATTGCGGGGTCCAATGGTATCTCTATTTTTAGGCTTTCAAGAAATCATCACACTGTTTTCCACAATGGTTGAAAACATTTTCCTTTTTCTCTACAACCTTGCCAGCATCTGTTATTTATTGACTTTTTAATAATAGCCATTCTGACTGGTGTGAAATGGTATCTCATGGTTTTGATTTGCATTTCTCTAATTGCATTTCTCGATGTTGAGGTTTTTTGCATTTTATTTTGGCTGCATGTATGCCTTCTTTTGAAAAGTGTCTGTCATTTGACAACATTTCCATGAGTTTTTTTTTTTTTTTTTAAATTTACGTTTTTTAATAATGTTAGGTATTAGTCCTTTGTAAGACTCATAGTTTGCAAAAATGTTCTTCCGTGCTGTAGGTGGTCTGTTAACTCTGCCAATAGTTTCTTTGGCTGTGCAGAGCTCTTTAGTTTAATTGTATTCGATTTGTCAATTTTTGCTTTTGTTGTAATTGTTTTTGGTGCCTTTGTCACAAAATCTTTGCCTGTTCCTATGTCTAGAATGGTATTGTCTACCTTGTCTTCCAGGGTTTTTATAGTTTTCAGTTTTACATTTAATTCTTTAATGCATTTTGAATTAATTTTTGTGTATAGCTTAAGAAAGCGGTTCAGTTTCAATCTTCTGCATGTGGCTAGCTAGTTATCCCAGCACCATTTATTGAATAGAGTCCTTTCCCCTTTGCTTGTTTTTGTCAGCTTTGTTGAAGATCAGACAGGTGTAGGTATGCAGCCTTATTTCTGGAATCTCTAGTCTGTTGCATTGGTCTATATGCCAGTTTTTGTATGAGTACCATGCTCTTTGGTTACTGTAGCCCTGTAGTACAGTTTGAAGTCAGTTTGTGTGATTAGGATGCCTTGACTATTTGGGCATATTTTGGTTTCGTATGAATTTTAAAACCATTTTTTTTTTCTATCTCTGGGAAGAATTTCAATGGTAGTTTAATCAGAGTAGTATTTAATCTATAAATTCCTTTGGGTGGTATGGCCATTTTTAAAATATTGATTATTCATATCCATGAGCATGGAATGCTTTTACATTTGCTTGTGTCATCTCTGATTTCATTGAGCAGTGTTTTGTAGTACTCCTTGAAGAGATCTTTCTCATCACTGGTTAGTTGTATTATTAGGTATTTTGTGTGTGTGTGTGTGTGTGTGTGTGTGTGTGTTGCAATTGTGAGTGGACTACATTTCTGATTTGGCTGTTTGTTTGGTTGTTGTTAGTGTATAGGAATCCTAGTAATTTGTGTACATTGATTTTGTATCCTGGGACTTTGCTGAAATTGTTGATCAGCTTAAGAAGCTTTTGGGCTGAGACTATGGTATTTTCTAGATATAGAATCATATTGTCTGCAAACAAAGATATTTTGATTTCCTCTCTCACTTGGATGCCCCTTATTTCTTTCTCTTGCCTGATTGCTCCGTCCAGGACTTCCAATACTATATTGAAAAGGATTGGTGAGAGAGGGCATCCTTGTTGTACTAGTACATTCTTATGCTACTAACAAAGACTTACCTAAGACTGTGTAATTTATAAAGGAAAAAAGGTTTAATTGACCCACAGTTCAGCATGGCTGGGGAGGCCTCAGGAAACTTACAATAATGGCAGAAGGGGAAGCAAACATGTTGTTCACATGACAGCAGCAAGGAGAAGTGCAGAGGAAAGAAGGGGTAAAGCCCCTTATAAAACTATCAGATCTCATGATAATTCACTCACTCTCATGAGAACAGCATGGAGGTAACCATCCTTACGACCCAAGTACCTCCCACAGGGTCCCTCCCATGACACATGGGGATTATGTGAACTACATTTCAAAATGAGATTTGGGTAGGGACACAGCCAAAACATATCACTTGTCTTGTGCTGATTTTCAACAGGAATGCTTCCAGCTTTTGTCTATTCAATAAGATGTTGGCTGTGGATTCGTCATAGATGGCTTTTATTAGTTTAAGGTATGTTCCTTTAATACTTGGTTTGTTGAGGTTTTGGGTGCTGAATTTTATCAAAAGCCTTTCCTGCATCTATTGAGATAGTCACGTGTTTTTTTGTCTTTTGTTCCATTTATATGATGAATCACCTTTATTGATTTGCATATATTGAACCAACCTTGCATCCTAAGGATAAAGCCTACTTGATCATAGGATAAGCTTTTTGATGTGCTGCTGGAATCAGTTTGCTAGTATTTTCTTGAGAACTTTTGTATCAATGTTCATCAAGGATATTGGCCTGAAGTTTTCTTTATTTGTTGTGTCTCTACCAGGTTTTGGTATCAGGATGATGCTGGCCTCATATAATTAGTTGTTGAAGATT